GAATGCTCTCTGCTACATGATCCAATCCCTTTTCTGATAATAAAAATATTTTTTATGAAAGATTTGAGTAGTATTTTGCAATTCCCAAAGAAGAATATTTCACTAAAATACTCACTTGGTAATAGAGAAATAAAATCTCTCTGCAACATTGGTTTCAAATATGCATTGATGTGACCATGCTGGTAGTGGCACATTCTTATTAACAATTGTTCAACAAAGTTAACTTGTTCTGATTCACTCCACTTTTCAAAAAGCTTCATACAAGTTTCCTTCTCTTGTCTGTATTGTGCTGATACTCCAGATGTTAGATCTTTCTTGCGAGTAGGATCATAAAGTATTGTTATTGGATACTGTAAAAACATTATAAAAAATTGCACGTATTATAAAAATACCACTTTTTTTTAAACAAAATGTGAATATTTATAATATTAGCTTAATATAATCTAATTCACATTTAATAATATAAATATAGATAGATGCCTAGATTGACTATTGTAAACATGTCATACTTTAGGGAACATATATAAAAATACTCAAATATATTTTTTTTATTGTATATTTACAAATTTTGAAATACATAATACAACTAAAACGCAATATTTCGAAGTATCATATAAAATAGTAGTAAAGCTACTCTAGGTGACACATGTATTTTAAGATAGCGTGTAGTATCAGGTTCTTGACCTCAGATAGACCACACTCTCTTATATATACAAGACATTAAACGCTCGTAGAAATTGATGTCCAAACATGCAATTTGTTCTTTTGAATTACAGTACTTTCTATTATCATAGATATAATTTAACGGTGATCACGCTTTTTATCAATGAACGCAATAAAACGAAGTCGCGAATAAAATAAATTAAATGTTAGCAACAGAACACTTATAAATACACATTTATTCATAGAATAAAACTATAAAATCAAAAAATAATAATATAATAATCCATTGATCAATTCACTTTTCCATTAGAAGTTTATGATATAATTACGTGCCCTGTACATAAATAACGTCCTATTCGAACTGAATTTCGAACCGATTTGTATAAAGAAAATTGTATCAACGGACCATGGTCTGCATTAATCCAATATTTCGTGTCTGACCTACTTGTTAACGCTTACTACTTCTGCAAACAAAAAACTCTTATGATAGACGCATATCTTATTAAATGTCTCGCAGTAGAAGTTAAACATTTATATCTAAAAATCTTACCGATCGAAACACATTCTTGAACATTGTAATCGCAATAGCTGAGAAATATATTTTCCGTCTTTCATATTTTCCATTAAAAACCTAAAATTTCATTTTTCACATATTTTTTTTTTTTTCATAACAAAAGGAAATGCACCTACGCGTCTTCGTTCTATGAAACATGCAAGATTTTAAGAATGCCTAATTATGTCGTTGCACATATGTGCATTATGCACAGAACGGTCCTTCGATTTGAGATATCGTGATCACTCAACTGTAAAAGGTAGCATAGCAACATTGAAGAGTCTTGGCGACCGAGGAGTACCTCGATCACCTGAAAATGTTTCTCCGTGGTGTTCCCAGTATAACGGGATCGCGAACTCGTGTCGAATCTATGCTCTTTGTATCTCTTTGTCTTCATACCCCTTACACGTTCTTTCTATTTCAGCAAGTAGTGACGCAAAACCGGCAACTTTGGCAGAAACAAATGTTATAGATTTGAAATCTTCGTAGAAAAGTGAACAGCAATATCTACATGTACGTGTGAAATGCCGATACGTCATTCTTTATTCATTTTAACAAATTAATACGATCATAAATATCAAGATAATATTCCGATGCTGATAACGATAAATTATATTGGACGGTATTCCGAAGAATATCTGCCAATATTATCATTGGCGACTGTGCATATATCCGATTACAAAAGAAAGTGTAGAACAAGCCGGAGAAAAAGAAAACAATCGTATAGTTTATGATTTTTACTGTTTTATTTGTAGTTTGTACTGTTTATCAATGATAAATATCATAGGTGTGTGAAAACTGATACACGAAATCTGTAGGGGCAAAAACGAAAAGTACACCGTGAAGTATGTAACAATGAACCACGTGAACCTCACGAATGTTTCGAAATTTGCTGTCGTCCTTGATTATGGATACTTATAGCACTAAATTTTAGAAGTCTTTGTCTTTTTATATATGAAACGAGGAAAAACATCCGAGGAGAACGAGTTTCAGTAATATATAAAACAATTTACATAAATCCGATTTTATAAGACAATTGTAAATTCATAATCACAATGTATCACTTCCTCAATGCTGTCAAGTACTTTTTACATAGTTGTAGCTCGGAATAAAACGATAAAAAAATTAAAAATGTACATGGTAATGTAGCAAGGAGTGAAACCGGAATGATGAGTCACTAGCATTAAATAGAGGGGTAATACTTTTTTTTTTCGACAAGTCACGTACAGCTCGATAACACAATACAGTGTTCATTTACATTGAGCGATGGTAGAATACTTTAATAAGACATTGACAGTTGGAACTCTAATAGTAATGATAATATAAATATATCGGTATATCTTCTTTCTATCAAAATTTAATATTAAAATATTGAAAAAAAAAAGAAGAATGTTTACATATATATTTTTTTTATAAATCATAATACACGCATTGAGAAAAATAATACTAATTTAATACTTAATTTCGTAAAACCTTTTAACAGGAGGATTACAATGTAGTATGTTTTTTCTATCACGGTCTCCTCGAAAGTACACGTGTGTAGTTTAATTTTAACACAATAGACATGTAAATCGTGTACTTTACTTTTGTACATCTACAGATTTATTATTTTATACTTCAATGTGTCTTTAATATCATTTCATATGTTTAAAAAAATTAATAATGTATTCTTTTATCGGAAAATAATATTTTGTTTTCCATTTTTAATTATCATCGTAATTGGAAATAAAAGATGTATCTCAATTCTGATATACATTCATAGGCATTTTTGGCATATATCCAATTGTATGTATAAATCAATATCACTGTAACATTAAACGACAAAGTAGGACGATAAAGATTAATTACTATTAATAATCATAATCATCGCTTTAAAATTGCATAAAAGAATAAGTATAAAAAAATTAAAGAATAAATTCTATTTGTCAAGTATTATTATAAAGGTAATATAACTTAACCCTTAAAATTGCGAAAGAAGTATTAAAAAAATGTGGAGAATCGCGAAAGTGAAACAAAAGAGAAAAGGTGAAGAGGGAGCTAAAACATTGATTATGTAGTAAGCTGTTCCCAGTCTGGCAAGCTTGGAGATTAGATGTGTTTAAACGATCTGCCCTTTGTTCTAGCAACGAAGACGATTGTATCCGATCAAATGAAGCTATTGTTAATTAAATATTAGCAAACTAAACACCTTCAGATAAAAAAAAAATATATATATATATCGACTATATAGCTAAAATAACAAAGCTAACGTGACAAAGGTATAAAACAGCCTTGTCGTATATAACAGGTTAATCGAACTTGACTGCATAATAATTTGAAGTTAAAATTCTATTCTATATTGTGAATATTATTATTTTATGTCAAAAATTCATATAAATAAAAAATTGAAAATTCAAATAGGAATATTAATCATGCACTTATAATTGAAATATGTAATATAAATATTAGAAAATTTATAATCAAATTTTAATGTCAATCATACGACGACATGCATAACAAGTAAAATATACTTTTTGTTCAAATAGAAATATATATTTCAAGTCGTAATGAGTAATATGTATTTTGTATGATTCTAAACAAAGTTAAATATTCGTAGTATTTCATAAATAACATGATAATATGTAGCAATGTAGTGATTTGCTTAAACAAAGGAACTAAAAATGATGCAATCTTAATTCTTATCACAATAATAAGGTAACTGTCATTATTAAATGTACGTAAATATCTTGATATAAGAGGTTTAGAGATATGACCACAATCATGTATGACAGCATATAATCGCATTTTATAACCTCTTGTACACGAGATATGTTTCCGAATAATAATTTTCAATAAAAAGTGTATACAACAGATATAAGCTTTACAGGAAATAACGGTCGATCGCAAAATATTAGTGAATTACTCCATCATAAGGAAACATAAGATGGCGGTAGGTTTCGGGTCAAAAATACTAATATATGTTGCGTACCTGAAGATTCGTGTTTGTGTCTTCGATAATCTCATCCGTTTCCATGTTCATCATTTTTACACACAACTGGCACAATATCGTTGATTTAGATGATGCAAATAGATCTATTTAACGGAAAATTCTTATAAAAGAATAAGACACCGTTTGAACACTAGCGTTTGACTATTCAACACGACTGACGACGCTCATGAGTCCTCGCCATGTACAGGAAGTTGAGACAACATTTCACCAACACAACAGCTCGTAAATAACTATGTCACTTCACAGAGTTGAGAAACCTGATACAACTCTTAATTCATACGAAAAAAAAATGTGCTGATGTTCTATATATGAACAATATTCGAAATATGATATTAATCTCCGTTAGAAATATATGAAATATTCAAATGAATTCTAAAATTCATGAAGATATACACAACCAACTGCCAAGATAAAAAGCTTACAAGAAGCACTAACACCATCGACTTCACTACTGCTCCTGTTTGACTGAACCAACTTAATGGCGTACCATACGTGAAACTTCTAAAATGGCGCATGTGCGCAAAATACTGATTTCTACGTGCCCGCGCATGTTTCAATCGCGCCACTTTAAGCAATTTCAAGTAACTCATTTCTACTAAAACAAATTTTTTATTGAATACATTGGTGTTTTTAAGCAACACAAAATATATATTTACAATATATACATAAAAGTGCATATATTAATATTACTTATTATACTTATAAATAATATGTAAAAAAAATTAATATGTAAAATAAAAATGAAATTATTACTTTCTAAAATTTTGTATAGTCTTAATACTGTAGTCTCGATTTTCTAAATCCATTTGATTTGTTCATTTCTGCTTCTTGCATTTTCCAATTCAATCTGATGAGTACGAGCTGCATATGGTTTATGACATACCTGTGAATCTAATGGTGGATAATAATGTCTATAACACATGTATGCCAAGAAGTATCCTATTATTGAACCTGCAACCACATCTAATATTTTCGGAATTAAGATATTTATTTACTGATAAAATAAAAAATATGCTTACCTTGCCAATGATGATGATAATCACACATTCTACTCAGTGCAATTAAAAGAGCAATACAAATTGGTAATATAAATGCACATAATTTCCACGATTGTCTCTTGCCTATTAGACTAAATGTATGTAATTTACCAGCTACATATAGTGCAATGAAGCCAAAACTTGCAAATGCAACTAAAAAATATGTAGATCTTTTAATAAAATTTAAATAACTTTTGTTAATAAGTATATACTTCACTTTTCAACATACATGAGGAATGACCACTTGGAAATGATTTCTTTCCATCTTTTATGACAATTGGATTTCCATTACATTTAAAATCTGGATTAGTTTGTCCATTAGGGAAGCATCTCCAAAAAAAATCTGGCCTAGGACGGCCTATCAAAGGATATTATCTGTTATATGTATAATACTTTTAAGATAACTGATATTTTATAACTCTTACCAACAATAAGTTTTATGATATCTGTAATAACGCCATTAAATCCTAATGCTAAAGTTACAGATAATAGTGCTTGATAAATATCAGTTTTGTCTTTGTAAACCAAAAAGACACAAAAGATTACTATAGTAGGCATTACAAAAACCAAGGGCTGAAAATAAATACAAATTAATCTTATATATATAAAAATTAATTATAATGTCAAAATATATTATAATAATGGTTTCCCATGTAAGATACATTACCCATAATATAGTAGTTGGAACATATGATTCAGTTCTTGGGTTTTTATATAACCATAATTCATCTTCATGAATTTTTCTAGTAAATGGTTCTGCCTGTTCTAATTCACTGTACGCATAAAAAATAGTATATTTATTTTTACTTTTATTAAAAATTATAATATATTTTCATTCAAAAAATATAAAAATTTATTTTACTACAGTAGGCTAAATTTAACTTACATAAATAATCCCACTAAGACAATTCGTAACAATATGTCAAACCAATACTCTGTTACAAAATTTGTACCACTTGTAATAGCCATTATGAATTTAAAGTGATTAGACTATAAATATTATAAAAATACATATAACCAAATGGTAAATTACACAAACACAAATAATTCATTATATACAAATGCAAATGTGTATAGAATTGGATGTTTAAATGGCATTAGTTATAGAGGTTTCATTGATTTTAAAATTATCTAAAAAAACATATGTTTTTAATTATTATAAAACTTACATTAGAAATATATGAAACAATTTAAATTTTATCACCAACCTCTTTCAACGAATTGAAATAACTTTTTTTTAACATAAATACTAGTTAATTATTTACAAAATTTAAAAAAATTTCTAATCATTAATTAAATACACATTTAAAAAATATATTTATTTGTCATTTAACACTGAAACTCCAGTATAAGAGACATTCAATTTTATCTATAGCATTTCAATTTGAATACTAATATTCAATTTCTTATTATTGCTAAAAGTACTACATTCATTGTTTTTGTAACGATAGTAATATATAGAATAAATAAATGTCTGTTGAAAATCGGACTTGATTATAAATTATATTACACTAAAATCGAATGTTCAGGTTTTTCACCATGTTTTGTATGTAAGAATTAAGTTTCTTTTTATTCATGGACTATTTATAAAACTCATTTTAAAATTATTGAACAACCTTAAAAAACATAATACTAACTTTCGAATAGTCGATTGATTGGTTTACGTATTATAGGCGTTAGTAGTCATTTATCGTTCTGAATATTATGCGCAATATAAATTAAAATTCTATGTATTTCTCTACATTTATTTTTATTAATTTTATTTTCTTTTTTTCATTTTTTACGTTTTATTACATCGTATATCATTAAAATTGATGCATATTAACTATTTTATATTGATAAAGTAATTATTTTGTGGTCGATGTAATATAGGTATCTATACACTTACGATGCTTTTTGCTTCACGTGTGTTTTCATGTTTTCTTGTGTATATTACATTACATTGTTTTTTATTGTCTAAAACAGGGTTGTGTATTATTGCAAGATAATTAATGTTGCGATACTACAACGTAAAATTCGAATTTGACATACTATGAAGGTTAGTTTCGTGATAGAAATATTTATATAATGCGTGTAATACGAATATTTATTTGTATGTATACATATAAATTTTATATTTAGGAGATTAATTTTTGTATGAGTTGTTTAACATTTCTTTTAATTATTGTTATATACTAAATACTAAGGTTTCAAAATATTAAATAGTTTTCATCATTATAAATGGTTAATATTAAAATTATTAATTATATAATTATGTTATAAATTCTATTGATACAGACTCAAAATATGAAGTGAAAATCATATGAAAAGATCTATAAATGGTTACAGTATTATTTGTTGAATGTACCAATTATATTTATTGAGTATAAATAACTTAATAATGTTAACATCAACATTAACAATGCCTTCCACATCAATAAACACTTCAAGAATACCAAGTCCTATCAGTGATACATTTGATGATAATCCTAGTAGATTAACTACATATTTGCATCAGCTTGCGGGATGTTATGAAACTGAAATTAATGTGCTTACAAAAGATCATTGTTATGCTCGTCCCTGGAATTGGAAACCAGAGAATGTTTATGTGAAGCCGATAAAAAAGTTGTTTTTTCCAAAGAAAAGTTTATTAACGTAAGAAACAAATATAATAAAATTATGAACATAGTCATAAACATAAAACTACATTATAATTTTTCATATATTAGGGGAAAAGTTACTCAGGATGAAGAAATTAATATAGAGGAAGATACTGATGAATCATTAATACTACCAATAGATTTTACTAGAGCTCGACATCAGATGGATGAATTACAAAGGTTAGCAAATTTTGCTAGACCTGATGAAAATGAAGATTGGGAAGAAAAGCTTGATAAAATTTTATGGTCACCTGTTCAGAATCGAATATTTACTAAAATTCTTAAAATATTGAACTCAGAAAGACTCGCAAGATTAGCTAAAGTAAATTGTTCAATAGAACCAATTTATCGGAGGACATCAGTTGATACAGCTGCAAGAAGATTTCGAGAAACATTGGCATCAGCTGGTTGGGATTGGAGACTTGCACAATGGTTACATAATTTATTGTTTGATCACCTTCCCCAAGAGTATCTTGGAATTTACCTTGATATATTACAAACTTTAAGACTGAAAATTCCTCAACTTATTGATAAAATGATTGCTGTACAACCAAATATTAATGCAAAAACTGGTTCTATAACTTGGGAAACCCTTGGATCACTTCTTAAACGAACATGGGATCCAATTACTCCAAGTTTAAATAGCAATAGACTTGTAATTATATTTATATACCTTATAGTATGTCTTATGTATATTTATGAAAGTAATTATTATTGTTATCGTAGAAAAAATTACCTGGAAATCCGATTTTAATAATTGTCCCTTCTGGAATGGGATCTAATATATCTATTCGACAACATAAGTGGATTTCTCAATTAGGAGCTTTAGGAATGGTTGTTACTGTTCACACACATTTAGGTTTAGCAGCCAATAGAATGACTATGATGGTGTGTATTGATCAATTAGTTCAAGCTACTAGAACTAAAATACAAGACATTAGAAGTGATTGTCCTGGTAGACCTATTATTCTTGTTGGTTTTAATACTGGTGCTGCTCTTGCATGTCAGGTATTCTATTTACATTAATATATTTTAATACAATGTAAAATATTGAGTATTAATTTTTTAATTTTATAGGTAGCACAGATGGAACATGTAACTGCAGTTATTTGTCTTGGCTTTCCATTTTTTACAGTTGAAGGGAAAAGAGGTACACCTGATGATACGTTAATGGATATTCGATGTCCAGTTATGTTTGTCATAGGACAAAATGCTACACTTGTAAGACCTGATGATTTAGAAGATCTTAGAGAAAAAATGATGGTTGAGTCAAGTTTAGTAGTAGTTGGAACTGCTGATGACCATTTAAGAATATCTACTGCAAAGAAAATATCTGAGGGTATTACACAAAATATGGTAGATAGATGTATTTTAGACGAAATCGGTGATTTTGTGGGTACTATCCTTTTGCAACCACATCCACTACCATTACGATCGACATTATTGTCAAACTATGAAAATAAGAACAATAGAAAAGAATCACGAAAGCGAAGAAACTCAACAAGTAGTTCCGTCGAAAGTGAACCAAATTCCCCTACTGTAAAAAAGTCTCGACCAAATACACCAATTTCTTCAGTAGTATCTATTGGACAAAATACACAATCAGCCACGATTTCTCGAGTAGGAACATTTAGTACACAACAGAATTTAATTGCAGTAGGTGGAATACATACAAATCATACACAGGCTATAAAAAGGAAACCACGAGTTGTTGGTAGTCAGAAAAATCATTTTGTAGAGCACTTAATAACGTCCAGACTTTCCGGACAAGTAAGTTAATAACTTTAATCTTAATTTTTAAAATAGCACTTAATAAATTGTATTTTTTTTTAGTCAAATTCGAATTCAGATAATGGCGGTATAACGTTAAACATTGGCTCGTTAGCAAGTTTAGCACCAATTGGTCCAATACGTTTAGCTCCAGTATCATCAGGTCAAGCTGTATCTACAACAATTAAAAATATTCCTAAATCTTCAATTGCGTCAACTAAAGTGCCTAAAATAGTTCCGACGAATGTACAGTTACAGAATATGTCAAAAATGAAAGCTATTGTATCATCAAGTAAAGGTTTTTCTAAAGTAATATCAAACAACTATAGGCATCTCAATATTCCTGACAAAAATGGAGACACGAAGTTAGTTAATGTTTTAACAACATCAGGAAATCAGATTAGAGTTAATACTTCAACTGCAGCAGGTGAATTTCACATAAAAATTATATTTTCTGCTTTTTTTTATCATCAAATATGTTGTATAACATAGATTTGTTTTTGTTTTATAGCAATACATAATAAACCTACACTTGGTACATCAAATGGAACTTTATCAAATATTTTACAAAATGGCAAAACTTCTCTTACACTTGCTACTAGCTCATCAGCTGCTTGTGTATCAGCTGCTTCCAGTATTTTACTAACACCAAACAATTCTGTGGCAACTAATATAGCATCAACTACATCTACAATAGCAAAAGGTAGAATATTATTATCTAATCAGCTACTGAATAATTTACCTACATCATAATATTTTTTAATTTTTAATCAGATGTATATGATTTTGCAAACATAATGATACTAAGTTTTAGACTGACAAAATAATATAAAATTGCAAATTGTTATTATTTTGAAAAATTATTTTTGTAGTAAAATCTTTATATTATAAAATTATCATTTTTATTTAAAAGAAGCTTCTATTTTACTTTTTAAATTTCATAACAATTTTTGTATATATGTATATAAAAATTATACAACTGTAACATATATATTTAAAATATACTTAATATATTCATACATAAAAAATACAAAAAATGAAAACAAAATTGAATTGTCAAATTTAGTTCAAAATAAACATGACCGAAATAAAATTGAAACATTACATATAAATATAATAAAAAGCATAAAAAGTTGAGTAGCAAAATAAACTCCTAAGTATTTAGCATATAGTGATTAAACAAACAAGAGCACTGGAAGGAAGCATTCATGTCATCTATCGACATATTTATCAGTTTATATCATACAAATTTCTATTATGTAAGTTTTTATTGTACATGTACAACGTTAGTATTAGAAATTTTATGTAACATATTTTTAATTAGTAATATCATTCAGTAATTCTGTTGATTGATTAAACAAAGTTTGGATTTATATGTTTTTATAATTTATTATTTTGATTTAAAAATATAGATCTTCATATGATAACATGTGAATCATATTCATATATGCAAAAGTGAAACGTAATGTGCATGAATATTATTAATATAATAAAATAAATTTTTTATACAATGTACCTATTTTGAATAAAAATCATTCTATTTATATATTGAGAATTCTGTAGAAGGATAATAGGTTTTAATTTTTTCATATTTTTTGTTGTAGGATAATTAAAATAGTTTAATAAACCTAATAGATCTTATTTTTTCTAGTCATACAAGTTTTTTCTTATTACTAGCTTGTTTGCATTCTTTTTTGCAGTTACATATATACAACAAAATATTCCTTGTATATTATTTCTGTTTTGTAACTAAAGGGATTTTAAATGTATATGTCTTTGTTTAGCATGTGTTGTAACACGTGTCCACATGTAGCATGTATTTATATTATTTTACAATTAATATAAGTTTATATTTAAAAGCATCTAAAGTAATATGTTGTAAATATTACTATTACCCTTTATTTTGTGTTCAATAAACATTTTTCCATGTAATTTGAATTTATTTGTTTCCTTGCCCCAATCCTGTTTAATGTTTGACCAAATTTAAATAATTTGCAATTAAATTAATATTAAAATTTTTATTTGATATATTGAAAATATATTTTTTTATAATATATTTTATTAAACAAAATAATTGTTTAAGTATTACTAGTATATCACCTGAGAACTCTCTTAGTTTAAAGTATATGGTAAAAAATAAAATTTTATATGTAAGCTATTATAATTTTATTATGCATTTTATAATTTTAATAACATACATAAAGACAAATTTGAAAATCAAATTTTTCTCTTACGTTTAATAGATTTATGCATGATTTATGTTACATTCATAACAATTTATATAGAAGAAAAATGTTTATCTTTCACTTATCAGTAAATTATTTATTAATTTATATTGTAAAAAATTGTTGAAACATATATATGTGTTTTATAGTGATGGACGACATGGCGACAACCAATAGCTCTTCGCATATGATGCTCAGTTCTACACATTCCTTGGACACATTCAAGATGTCACAATTACCCAGACAAGTAACAACTTGTAATAATGATAGCTGTCATAATACATCATGTGGGAATATAATTATGGTTGAAAGTTCTCCTAATGCTAAATCTACTTGCTCATCAGTAATAGTACCATTAAGCAGTCATAACTCAGGATCTATTTTACCATTGTCTAACAAACTGAAAGTTACTCAAAAATCGACTAAAACAATGCCAAAGATTACAGTTAACACATCTAATTTACAAAGAATTCATAAACCTCAAACAGTACAGAAGAATTCTCTTGTAAATGAGATTGATGATGAATTAGGGAATATATTAGACATACCAATAATTTTTGCCAAAGATGATGATAACTTAAATTCTATTGAGAAAAATTCATCTTTATCTCATCAAACTATGCCTGTAGATATTCATGAAAAAAGTACAGCTAAATTAAACAGTAATACCAAAGTTGTTCTCATAAGTAACAAACAGGATAAATTACAACAAGCAACTAATAAATTTGTGACACCTACTACCCAAGCTATCATATGTCCTAATGTATCTGTACAAAATTTAAGTCATGTAATATTGCAAACAAAATCTCAGAATCCTACTTTGTCCAAAACTAAAACAATTCCAATACAAACTCGTCCAAATCAACCAACTGTAAAATATACTAAAATAATTCTTGCAAAAAGAAATTCTCAATCAATTCATCAAAATGATAAGAATGAACAAGTCATTGTAACAAAGACAGTTGATAAAGTTAATACATCAAAATTGCTAAATCTTGATAAAAGCGAGCATCGATATGCACAAATCATGACAAATCAAGCAATAAAAAATGAAGATAATATAATAGACGAGACATTAGAAATTGAAGACGCTATAAAAATGAATATTATAGAACGTAAACATATTTCTCTACAAAGAGTTGATGTACCATCACAAACAAATGACAGTGTAAAAGAAAGTATGATTGAAATGAAATTAAATGTAACTAAACAAAATAATTCCGAATGTACTAAAATTAATGATGTAATAAATTTGCAAATATAAAATGTTCCATCTTAACTGAAGTCTATACCTGTACCAAAAGGAAGTAAATTGTAAATGCAAAACCTGTAGTTTGTGGTAAAAAATTATAAATATTATAGGTACAGATATTCATTTTCTTATTAAAATTTGTAATTACCTTAATATTTAATTTTATAATATCTTTATTTGGAAATAATATCTTTGCAGTTAAATGTTCAGTTTTATAAATCTAACATAAATTCACAAAATGTTTATAAGAATTAATTGTTACTATTTACAAAAACTGTATAATATTTAATAGCAAATTTTGTTGCATTTTTATAATTTGCGTTACATACGTTATATAGTATTATTTGTTACAAGCTTTATAAAAATCTATATATCCGTTTGCAAATAACTCAGTATTATTTATAGTATTAATATATTTCTTGAAGTCACTATTTATAAAATAATGAGTTGTTATTGTTCTTTTAACACTTGTCTTTTTAGGAACTGACACTGCTGGTTTAAATACAACATCAGTAGGATCAAAGACAGTATGAAGTTCTTCTGGAGAACTAAAACAATAAAGAAATTTGAATCCTGTTGCACACAATTATGTCTTATATTTTAATCATTAAAATACATTTAAAAAAAACTTGAACTTACAGTTTAGCAATTTCTGGAGATAAACTGCCTTCACCCGTTGGTGGTACATCCCAAGCTATATTTTTTGCCATCTTTTGTACAATACTGTGATAATGGCGCTAGTAATAAATAGTAAATAAATATTTAATAATTGTAATTAAAATCACTCAAGTCATATATATTTATAAATGATGTAAATAAATACTTGTAAAGCTGCAAGTTCCCATAATGCTGAACACTGTGCATTACAATACTCTGGTTCTTCTAATTCTGCTTGGTAGGAACCATTTCCGGTGGTACAATCAGTATCCAACAAAATATTTGCTGTTTTACCAAGTTGCATAGTTTGCCTTATAAGACCAAGAATACCAAGTGCCGAATTATGTTGTAATTGTAAAGTTAGAGTAGCTATTCTTTTGATAAATGCAATCAAACGATTTTGTGTAATTCTCTTTCTTCTATAAATTAGTGCTTGGACTAATATCTTTATAAGAATTTCTGTTTCTAAATGAGTTCTACCACAATGAATATTTAATAAATTCTTATATAAATGTGCATAAAACCTGTATAAATATCATATATAGTTACAAACTTAATTTTTGTCTTTTTATTTATATACATATTATTTTTCTATACAAACCTGTAAGGATCAAGATTCAATGCTGAACCTTGTCCTGATAATATTGTAAATACACATTGTATACAATGTAATTGATCTCTTAAACTTAAATTACCTTCGTCCATTAATTTATTTATAACAGTTACTAAATCTTGATAAAAATCTAAGTTTATGCAATGTGCAAATCTGTAATTATTGAATATTATTAAATACTATATAATTTAATATGTAAATAAATTTAGTAAAGATATATCATACTTTGCTAGTCCTTCTAAACAAATGGATAAAATTTTACTATTTGGAGCTTGTTTCAAAATTCTAAAATAAATCGTAAATACTATATTTGTTATTTCAGTAAGTAACTTTTGTTTTGATTGTTTATTCTCTTCTGCTTTAGTTTCAAGTAATTCTTTTTCTACTTGTTCCAGCTTTTTATTTTTCTTCCTTTCCCGTTTACTTAAAGCAAGAATTCTTTGTTTATGAGACATAAGCTTTTTTTGTTTAGTCTCTTCTTCTTTTTCTTTATCTAAATTTGCATCTTTTATACGAAGGGATAGAAGTACCAACAAAACCTCATAATGAACAGAATGAGCTTTTAATTTTATATACTGATTTAATTTACGTACTATCTGAAAAATATATTAATATATATAATATTTTTCTTAAATTGAATTTGAATGTAAATAATATTTCTTACTTTAAGAGATAATTCTGCACGTTTGTCTTCTTTAAATACTTGAGAAATACATTTTAAGACCTCTTGTCTTACAAATTCATATTTGTTATCTAAGAATGGTATAAGAAAATTTGCTATATTAATAGAATAATTAAAGTAGAGATGAATGGTTAAAAGATCACACATGCATGTTATTGCAACTTTCCCTAATTCAAGTTCTTGTTTTTTTATTTGTCGAATATCTCCCTTCTTCTTCCTTAGTATATTAGTCATTTTTTCTAGCTTCTGTAGATAACGTCTATAATATCTTAATAATGTAGCTTCATAATTTTGTAATGCAAGTGTTTCTTTCTTTACTGGAAGGAGAATAACAAGTTTATGATTTACCGTAACCTCAGTATCTGCATACTATTATAATTACATACATTTTAGACCTTCTTGTTGAATTTGAAGAATTTGATAAGATGGTAACAAATCTTTAAAAACTTCTAATAAAGAAACGGTTGCTAATTTTCTCACAGTAATGTATACCTCTGGATTAGTATCTTCCATTAATTCTAACAGTGTTTTAAAATTTTCACATTTAGTTTCTGGAGTTTCTAAAAGAGTGCTAGATAATAATCCAATTTTTAAACGTTTAGATCTCAATACTTCCTTGCGACATGCTAATAGTTCTATTATAGATACAGGCTTTTTGGTTTTATCATCATCTTCATTCTAGAAAAATCAATTAAGATATGAAGATACATTCTTTCATAGACAATGGTGTTTTATAAAATTTAATCAAATCTCACATATATATTTGATTCTATTTCCATATCACCATCTTCAGTATCATGTTTATCATCAGACTCATTTTCATCATCTTTAATTTCTTCAATCAATCTTTTCTCTATAACTCCATTTTGAGTTTTTGTTGGAAGCAACATACGAACCTTCTTTACACCTTCTTTTTCTTTTATCTTTGACATACTATTTTCATATTTTTCTTCTAATGTGTCTTCATCTTTCTTCTCCTTATTTCTATTATTCTTTTTATTATTAACTGTCCTAAAATACCTATGATTAATAATTATTCTCAAACAAAATATAGGTATTAACTATTATAATATTCATACCCATTTAAATGTATTTGATTCAATAAATTATAAGATTTATTAGAAATAGCTTCTCTTAGAAATTCTAGATCATCTTCTTCGACCATATCCATAAGATCTTCACCATGGTCACTTTCTTCTTCCACAGATTCTACATGTGGAACTACTGTCTTCTGAATTTGTTTTTTAACTGGTTTATGTCTTCTTGTTTTAAGTTTTCCTTGCCGTGTAAGTTTGGTCCTTCTTTGATTACTTCTTTTAATTGCACTGATTTTTAATTTTTTCTATAGAATTCAAATTTAAAGATGTTAAAATACATATTATTTTAATAATCTATATTAATATAGACATTAAAAAGTATTTTTCACAATGTGTAAAATAGACATAGGTTAATATTTTTATTATTGTTTTTAAATAAAGTAATATTTTCACTTACTGCCATTTTTCGTAATTTTGTTTTAAGTTAAAATATTCATCAAATATATAGAAAATTGTTACTTTTCATAATTAAAGTATTATTCCTTAGAATACAAAATATTTTTATATTGTTGACACGTGCTTTCGTATGCTTTACGCGCTACATTCTAATGTAGTTATAGCTATTACTAATATTGTAATGAACATAATAGCTTTTTTATATGATAACTATCAAAATAATTATAAATGAATGGATTTGTTTTTATATAATTTTTATAATTTATTGAATAATTTATACTTTAATATTATATTGTTATGTTTGTAATATTAAGTCTATATAATGTATTACAAGAGATTATATAGCAATGTTGTAAAGTATTTATAATTCAAATATCTTATTGAAGATTTGAATAAAAATTAACTTTTATTCCAATATTGAATCTTTAATTCTATTTTGTGTATTAAAATTCAATGATTTCGTTATATATAATTGACAAGATGTGTTGAAAGTATACAAGTGTACGCTACAGTGTGCATTACAGCATATAATGAGTAAACTTTAATACAATATTTTGAATTAATTATGTGTATTTTAATTAAATAATTTAATATTTTGTGTTATTATAAAAACTTTATTTATACATCAACGCAGGGTAAGTTAAAGTATTTACAATGTTATAAATTTAAGATGTTTTACAAATCAAGGTTATGTTTAATCAAAATCAAAATGATAGTAAAAATTACTTGAACTAAATTACTGAATGAAATTTGAATTTTTTATTAAGTCAATATAATTATAGTTATAACTACAAGTTACGAAATATCAGCAACTTTTTATTAATTTCATTTATGTATTTTTTACAATTGATTGTTCATTTTCATACAGTTTTTCATCCACATTACATGTTATATAGAACAAAGAATATTTAATAGTATATTGGTAATTTATGTATATTATAAATATATTTAATTAATATAACAGTAGTGATGATAATAAAAATTAAACAAAATGTTAAGAAAAAAAAAAAACAAAAATATAGTAGATAGAAAAATCATAATATAGGCTTATAATGAAAGGTTAATAAAATGTATGTTTATCATTTCTGTCTATGGAAGTGGTATATATATGTATATATAAAGAAAGTGTTTAACATAACTCTTGTATGAAATCATTCTTTTGCAATTGGGCTACCACAGAAACTCCCTGAATATACAGGTAGAGAATCTTAATGTACAATACAAATTGATGTACAATAAAGTCCAACATGAAACGTTAACGGCTTTCAATAGGATTAATTTACGAATTGCATGGAACTAACTGGACATCAGGTCATACCGATTTTGCAGTGCAAGATGCTGTTTGTTGTATAAACTGAATTTACATTATGTATTTGTTAAACATTGAAAATCGTTAATCGAATACGTGTTATCGCAAAAGATCATTGTGCATTGCATCATTCTATCTGTGATTTTATGATATATATTTTATTTATCCAATACGGACAAACTCAACTGACAGACTACAAGCGGAATTATAATTATTTTTTAATTTGAGAAACGAAATATCTTATTGGCTGATTTAAAGTAACGGTATTCTGATCATCGTATACTATATTTGCAGTTTTATAAAGAACTATGACGTATATTGCATAACTATTCTTACATTATAATTTTATTTCCAAATTAACATTAATCAACGATTACGTTTAGTAATAGAAAGAAGTAACATTGTCAAATTGATTATTCTGTGTTCGCTGTGTTTACCGCCTGTACCACGTGGTTCTTAGTAGTTGAGATGGAGTTATGTTATGATTTGACTTTTGTGGTGGTCACTTCGATTATCGAATGAAACTAAAAGTGACTATTTCTGTTTCCTTTTTTTCTTAATGACACTTTTCTTTATACGACAAGTTTAGTCTAATATTTCATAGGAAATATTGAAAGCGGTTTTCGTTTATTTTATTTTTATTTTTATGCAAAGTGGTATTACACTCTTTTTTGTGCCGTTTAAATTATTGAGATTAAAGTTGAAATTGAAATGACATTATAATTAAGGTGTCCTTTTTATAATGTATTAATCGATCAATTTTATATCTTTTGTTAAAGTTGTATTTTAGTCGCAAAAAATATGATGACAGCACAAAATATCGAGGAAAATTATATTTTATAAAAACATATAAGTTTGAATAATGAGATTTTTTAAAATTATCAGTACAATAAAATATAATATCTGCATTCCCAAACATGGAAGAAAAGAGAAAAGAAAATCGAGTGCAAAATTGCCCAGTTGCCTTACAATTATGATGTTTGAAGTTGTTTACGAATGGGTAAACATTTTTTGATGATCTAGAAGCCTGTATATATGTTGAATGAAGTTCTAGCTTAAAAACATATTCCGTTGTTATAACACACTGAACATCCCGGCATATTGCATCGTTACTTAAGCGAGTCAGTGAACTGTCCTCAGCGAATATTGTCCGTGGTTACTTAACGTATTGCAGTAGAAAGTCGGCGTTTGTCGCGGCCAAAGCACAGTCTTTTGTATACCGCTGTTATTTTCAAAGGTTCGATAAAAGTTTTAATTAACGTATCGTGTGCATGAACACGAGAGCGCCAAAATAATAATCATCAAATCTGTCGGTTCTATGGATCTTGAAGAAGTGATCGTTTGCTTTTCTTTCACGGCAATTGATGTGTTGAACCAAGATTTACATAATTGTCAAACAAAGTAGATAAACAGTGATTAAAACCATGAAAACGAACAATTGATTCCCTACGCCCTTGCAGACGAATGAAACGATAGCCCTAATATTTTTCTTCTTCGGTGAATAAAATCATCGCGATCTTATTCGATACAGAAATGGATGGTCTTATTGAAATTTTTCTTTTCTTTGGGGTTCTTTTCTACTTCTTTAATTTCAGGTAACGTATATTATCCTGTTTCTAATATGTCCTGTTTTAATGGTTGTATTTTGTGAATCATTCTGATTTTATACAAAATGCTGTAAATTTATCAAGTTTAATCATCTTCCGATTTTATACAAAATGCTGTTAATTTAACAATATTAAGAAAGAATGGAAACATTCGTTCTATAATTATAGTAATTTGATTGCAGTAAATAGAAAGATCAATTCAAGGAACCTTTACATGCCCGCCATTAATAACACGTGGCGCATTCAAATAGATATATTTATAGAGATTTTTATCATGTTAATTTTTTAGTTCCATAAAAATTCAATTAATACTTTAATAGAAAATACAAACACTAATTGTATTGTTTCAACTAATATATAATATTACGTTAATCTGTGTTTAATTTTTTTGCTTACTATTGATAAAGAAAATTTTATAGTTTGATATCTCATATATTGAAATTATCTTACTAGAAAAATAACGGAAAATATTATTTTTCTTAACAGCATAGAAATGTTGTAATAAAATAAATGCCATAATTCGTGACATACATTTATTGAAATTATTTTAGCGATTTCTAACTTTCTTGTAATAACATGTTAACATTTCGAATTTACACGATAAGGCATTAAAATATACGAGATAAACTGTAATCGTTGAATATTTTCGTGGCAATCAAATGTTATTCAAAATTTCACCTCTGGTAACCTACTCAAGACAATATCATAGTATGGTACCGTAAAGGATAAAGTAGAAAGTAAATTAAATTTGCATATCAGCCAAGCAAATTATTTATAATTATCGCTGTCTTTTTTCCAAATTTATAAGTTTATAAACTTATAAATTTCGATATTAACATAATTCAAAAGTGAAGTCGCAAGACGTACCAATTACGTTCATTTGGTTTATTTATCCATAGAATTATTGATGATGAGCCTTATAAGAGAAAAGAAAAGTAGAAAAAGAAAAAGAACAAGAATATAATTATCAGATATTAATGTGTTGTTTTGATGTGAAATTTGATTAATCGTGTATTACTATATTTGTAGAGGGAAACAATTATTCATACTATTAATTGTGATCAGTTGGATACCTTTAGAGATCTCGTCTTATATTTTTTGACGACGTTAACTTAATTAACTATTGTATCTTTAATTTTTCAAAGAAAAAAATGTAAACACAGTGAAAAGAGAAGAAAAAAAAAATTAGATCGCGTCATTCTTGTTGGATATGCTTCATAGTTAGGATTTCAAATTTGTTTCTTCATAGACCGATACGATGTATGAAAACCGCGGAATGAAATGAAATCCATTGTCTGTGAAAGCTTTCTACTATTGCTGAATTATTCTGACTTAATTATGGTCTGGTTTCTTGTTTTTTATTTTCTTATAGCCAGTTATCAATATGTGAACACGATTTATTTTTGCTTCCTAAAGTTACAAGTATATATGCAAGAACTAACCAATTTCTCGATACTGCTTATTTTTAACGCGAAATGTAACATTCAATATTCATTTATGTAAGTGATATATGATACGTCCATACAGACTATACATATCATATGGCTAAGTATCTCTTTCCTCGAACGATATAGATTTGATTATTTTATAATTCTGTCATAATATTCAATGTTATGTACAATAAGTTCCGCGTTGCATTGCAGGCTGTGATTCATTTATCCTTGCTGTTTCATTTAGATATATTTCATCGAAAATCATTTTTATGTACTTGAATATATCATGGTCACTATTAAACGTATTTTGAATCTTTCCGATTTGAAAATATCTGCAGTACAAGATCAGAGATGAACTCTCGCCTTGAACTCTCTATATTTGCGATTTGTATTTTATATCGCAAAAATGTGCAAAACGACACCGAATAAAATGAAGGTTTTTATCATGAATTTATAGAGTCAGGAATCGTTATTGCTATTTCCTGGTACATTTTTATTTACTTGTTGCACTGGTGCATATAATAAAATAATCAATGCCGAACTTAGAGAAACATATCTAGAAAAAGGAAATCGCATCTGCTAATTGCGATTGCACTCAACTGTATCGACACGTAAAAGCGTCGGAAATCATGCGTAAATAATACATGAATATATTCAACAGCAAAACCTATGAAATTGTTCGGTTCATCTCTGTTGTAATGGACAATATCAAAGCTACTAATTACAAAAATAAAGTATCGCATTTATACTTCGCTTTCATTCGGTAATTCTTATAATACACATTTGCATATGAAATAATTTTTTTAATCCTTTGCACTCAAAGGTTTTCGTGCTGCAGGTAAGCAGCAATTCAAAGCTTTTCTATTATAAAGTTACCGATGTCTTTATCATGGCGTAAAAAGAAATTATGTATAAATTATAGTGCACAACTGTTTTATAAATATTTCGATATTTCACATGTCGTTACATTGTCTCAAACTTAATATTCATCATTAATCTTTCTTTCTAAAGTACTTATTTTCAAATTGTTATTTACAATAGTAGAGCTTCCAATATGGTCGATATACTTTCAACACGTTTACAAGAAGTATATGCAAAATGGGAGACCAGAACGGCGGTAATGCGAAATCCAGAATCAAATACAACCCGACTTTTAATAGAAGGTAAGAATTTTATTTGGGAAATAAAAACGTCTAAGAAAGCACTAGGCAAATAATCAAATATTCACATTTTAGATCTTCGACGAACTGGACAATTATTGTATAAGAAAAAGGCACAAGACAAGGAATTAGCCAGAAAAATCCGGAAAGACTCTTTATTTAAAATCAAAGAGTCGGAACCATTAGTACCCTTCATCAAAGAAAAATCCTCCTTTTTACATTATTGTTGCAATAGTTGCACTCCATCATCTAGAGTAAGTTTAATGTTATTTATTTTTTTAACATTAACGACAATCAAATATAAGATAATTTTATTGTTCAAGTTCTAAGAAAGATATTTGGCATGTCCCTTATACTGATATGTCCGCATCGTGTAATATCATAAATGAGAATTGAAAATATTCTGGTATTAAAAAGATATATACTTTAGATAAATGAGGTCTTTCATTTTGACCTCGTGCTGACACTCTTACAATACTAAAAATATATTTAGCTTACGGCCTGGTAACTTAGCTGCGTGTAAAATTGCGAACATTATCGTATGACACGTATAACATTTTCTTGTAAAATACAATCAAAATATTAATAATAATATATGATTATTTAGTCTAGAACAATTTAAATTATACAATTATTATAAGTGTTTTTATTGTTGAGCTAAATAGTGTTTCGTTATGAATCCGTTATGAATGTAGTGCAAATAAATGAAATCTTTAACGTGTAATATTATGAAGTTATTAAAAATTTATTAGTGTAGTTTAAATATCAATTATCGTAGATGAACAAAAATAGACGTAAAACAGCAAATTTCTCGTTACCTAATTAATACGCTATTTTATAATGCATATATAATTATGTGACTCTATAAGTTTCTATTAATTCGTTTGATAAGTAAACATTAAACTTTGTCTATGCAAAGTATGATATACCTTTATCTAATAATTATAGTCGTTAATAAAGGCCATGTACTTTCGATGATAAAAATTATTCACTTTCATAGTTAAGCGAATTATTTTATTATATTAATCATTTATATATTAATGTACTATATATTTGTAAATTTCAAATATGATTTTTTTATAAATAATGATAAATTTTACAAGCACACGATAATTAAATATAGATAATTAAAAGAAAAGATGTTAGAGGAACCATGTGAACTTTTTTCACGATGGTTGCGTATTGTCGTGTTGCATGGATATCGAGAAAATGTAAGCCAGTCATAAATAATTATATTTTTTTAAATATCTTTAGCTTCCTTGATATTTTAAATAATTAAAGTAATTAGTTATACAAAATATTCAGTTATATATGAGACTTTTACGATATTTTTACTTTATCTCATTTTTTACAGAATTCTTTAGTAAATACTATTAGTAAACAATATATGCCTTTTGGATTAAATATATTGGTAGTTAATCGAGGTTCATCATTGTTCTCCAAAGTGTTTTATTGTATTTCACATGTTTACAATTGTAAAAAGTATGATTATCCAAGGGTATCACAAACAGTAAGTTACAAATTTAGAATTATGTTATATTTATTAGAATAAAAATTTGATTTCTTATAAATTTTATACATCATTCTTTTACAGGTTTTAGAAGATGAAAGATTAAAAGATGCAATTAAATTGACTGCTTGGGAAACAGTTACCAATGAAGGTTGTAGTGAAACAGTTGCCCTGTTAAAAGCAGGAGCTAGAGCCAAAACTATATTATTTCAAATGGAAAGCAAATTGAGTAATCTTTTACTTAAAATAACAGCCTGGCTTCTTTATAAATTATTGCCATATTTTATACAATCTACTATAGTATTGCCATCACAAATGGAAATGTTAAAAAAAGCAAACGAGACTGGTCTTCCTTTGATATTACTTCCTTTACATCGTAGTCACTTGGATTATATTATGATTAGCTTCGTTCTTTTAATAAATAATATTAAGAATCCAATCATAGCAGCTGGTGATAATCTAAAAATTCCATTTTTTGGGTATGTTATAACTATGTAAATTATTAAATTTTCTTATAAGACTGTCTATTTATTAATTATATTTTATGCATTAAATAGGTGGTTTCTACGAGGCTTAGGCGCATTTTTTATAAAACGTCGGATCGATCCTGTTATAGGCCGCAAAGATATTCTTTACCGTGCCACTCTTCATACCTACATAATGGAAAGTTTAAGGGCGGGTTATAATATAGAATTCTTTATAGAAGGTGGACGCTCAAGAACTGGTAAACCATGTATGCCAAAAGGTGGCATTTTGAGTGTCATTCTTGATGCATACATGGATGGAATTATTGAAGATGCATTATTAATACCTGTAGCAATGAACTATGAACGTCTTGTTGACGGCAATTTTATCAAGGAACAGCTAGGTCAGCCAAAAGAAATGGAATCATTTAAATCTACGGTTAAAGCCATATGGTCAACCTTAATAGGAAATTATGGTATTGTCAAAATTGATTTTTGCCAACCATTTTCACTTAGGGTACGATACTCATCTTCTTTTAGTCTTATAAATAACATTTATTATTAAATTTACGTTCTCTTAATTACATAACTTTATTATCTTATGAAAAGGAAATGTTAAAATCTTTTGAAAAGCAACAAAATAAATTAACCGGAGGCAAAATATTTCCTGTTGAAAAGCCTTTAAAATCTACAATGTCTAGCTCGTCATTGTATGGTACAGATGTAATTGTAGAAGAATACCGTCAATTAGTTGATAGTATTGCGCGACACGTCGTGTATGGTAAGAATAAAATAGTTTTAAAAATATTTATTGTTGTTGAATATTAATATTCAATATTTTTTAGACTGTACTAGCTCAATGCCAATAATGTCGACCAATGTTGTTGCATTCTTACTTTTGAATAAATTCCGAGATGGTTGTACTTTGGATAAATTGGTTGAAACGTTTGATTTAATAAGACAAGAGTTAGAAAGCCGTAATAAAGATCTTGCATTTTGCGGAGAAACTGTTGATATTATAAATCATGCTGTTAGTAAGAAAATTGCATTATAGATATTTTATTATGATAAAAAAAAAGACATACATTAGCTCATTCTTTTAGTTGGATATCTTAGGTCCAGGTTTAATAAAACAACAACGTCAAGAAATTACAGAAACAGTTAATGGTCGGCAAATTAAATCAAATTTTGTTATTGCAATACGTCCTGTATCGATTCTACCAAATGTAATTGAATTATCCTATTACAGCAATACAATGCTAACATGCTTTATTATGGATAGTATAGTAGGTAAGAAAATGCATTATTTTATAATTTATTTAATTTTATAATTTGTTTATTATATTTTTAGTAACAGCCTTATATGCCGAATTGCAATCACAGATCAATGACCCTATAGCTATTGCTCAAAATAATATTATGGTCTCTCAAGATCATTTGATTGAAAAGTCACTTAAACTTTGTGATATCCTTAAGTATGAATTTATTTTCTGCAAACCGTGTCAAGAATTAGAACGTGTTGTTGTAGAAACTATAATAAATCTTTCATACACAGACCTCATTACTTTACAAGAGGTATTTTATACTTAATATAATTATTTTATTATTTAAAAATTACTCATATAAATTACTTTATAGGAACATTATTTACAAGAAGAGTTATGGAGTAGAAGATATGCAGAAAATTTTGATAATAGTTCAGATGAAGAATATTGTAACAAAAATAAGATTAAAAATATTCAGTACAAAGTAAGTTATTTTTTAGTTTAAATGTATTTTTTAATATCAGAATTGTAATTTACTTCAATTATTTTGTATAGTTGAGCTTAATACCAGAACATGCAGAACGTATGGAATTTCTTCACGTATTATTGCGACCATTAATTGACACATATACTTTTAGTGCCTTTACTCTTAGAAAATTAGTAGGACAATCACTTTCTGAAAGAGATTTAATTCATGAAATATTTTGTGATTTGAAAATGAATTTAGATTGTGGTATAGTAAATTATGGTAAGTAATAATAAATGATTATATTTTTATTATAAATTAATATTTCATTAATTTTACTTTAAAATAGGTGAAAGTTTATGTGTTGATCCAATAAAAAACTCTTTAAAATTATTTGAAAAATGGAATGTCTTGGAGTGTTATCTACAAGAGAATATTAAAATTTTCTATTTGAAAGATGAATATGACACAGATTCGGCTGTAACAAAAGTGTATGATACAATAGCAGCTTTCAAATGGACCAGAAATGTAAACTAAAAACATTATTTCAATTTAATTTCATAACATACTATTTTTTATCTAAGAAGATAAGTTGTTATCAAAAACTTTTGTACATTAATGGTTTATAAGGATTAAATAAAATGTAATTATACATTGAACATATATAAATTTAGTGATTTACAAATTGGTCTGTGTGTTCATAAAGTTCATAGTTTTGTACAGTTAAGTCTTAGACTTGAGTTATTAACTATATGTACAAATTCTTTATCGTATAGTTAATGTGTACATCAAATATATTATAGATTTATCTCGTTAATAAAAATAGTCTTATGTATTATTAAATTGTGTATCAATGAATTTTTTTGTTAAAACAAAATAAACTTAAAAAACTATTTTTATTACATTTTTACAAAACAGTAGAATGATAAAGTAGATAATTATTTTGTACAAACAAATTTTGTTATGTATGCTATTATAAAAGAATAAACATGACAAATGAATACTGTAATCTTTAATATATTTATAATCAAAAAGATATTACATGCAAGTATACAATTCAAAACCTTATAACTGAAGCAACTGGATAACTTCTTCGCATACCCATGCACTTTTCTCTATCAATAAATAATGCATCAACTTTAGATTTTAAATCACTTTCTAAGTTAGACCTAGTACGTAGAAGTTGTTGATGTTGTGCTTCAAATTTTTGTAATTTTAAATTCATATCATGTATCATTGATTTTATCGTTTCTACTTCCTCAACCATTCTATGTAAATAATTAAACATATAAGATTACAATCATTAAACTTTATATACGTTGTTTAAATATACCTGAGTTGAGCATAATCTTTACATAATTCTGCAGCTGGTCTATGTGTTCTGCTTTCTAAACGAGTGTGTGCAACTTTAAGGGCAGAACTTTTATCTGTGATAGCTTTTTGTATTAATTGCAAATTCTTTTCAATCTCAAAGATTTCTTGTTGAATCTATAATTATATATAAATTACCAATTAAATAACAAAAGTTTAAAAGTTTTAAAAGTTTCAAGACAATTTTAGATACTTTGTGTAAATGTATTTGTAATTTTTCTTTTGCTTCGAGCATTTCCGCAGCTCTTTTAGCTAACGCATTATTTGTATTTTCCCATGCTTCCCACATTTCATGTCCAACCGCGTTTATTGCAATTTCTATATCACTTCTTACTTGATTAGATTTTTCTCGTTCTTTCTGTGATTTTTTTACTACGTTGTTGGAAGCTTCAGCCCATGACTCGGCTTCCGTAACACTAGGATCATATTTTTCAATACCACCATAATATTTTAATCCGCGACTAAAATTGTTCATTTGGTGGCATGTAATATCAATTCCAAGTGCAGTTTCTTTATTTTTTATATCGATTTCTAATTGATTTTGTATTGCTCTGCTATTTGTAAGCTGAACATAAAGCAGGAGATTACGATAATTTTCGTAAAATTATAATTTTATACTTACTTGAGTAATACATTTATCCGTAAAGTGTTCTAATTTATTTTGAGAATTTCTAACTACTTCTACTTCTTTTAGCAGAGCATGTTCTACTTGGTCATGTACTAAATCAGAACCTATGTATATTTTAAAAGATATTTTACGGATATACATATATATTTTCAAACTAAGAGATAAATGTAATATACCTGTTCTAGCTTCACGATAATATAAACATTCCTGTGCTATGTGTAATTGACCCTCTAAACTTTGTATCGTAGTTTGTAAATTTCGACGACACTCTTGCATTTTTATATTTTCTATTATCAGTCTTTCCAATTCTGAAGCTACTTCATTTCTCCAAAAAGTAGTATCTGTAATTCTTTCCCCTAATTTACGACCAGTTTCAGTTTGGCCATTCTGTACTTTCTCATCGGCTTCTCTAAAATTGCATCAATTCTTATTCAATATATCGTCTAACAAATTTGACAAAACATTACAGTATTTTACCGCATCATCCGAACGGTATCCTGTCGTAAGTTTTCGGAGAAGTTTCTATTAGTATTTGATTCATTATAAAGCTTTAGCTGATTTTGCACCCATTCGTATGGACCATATCTTGTAAAAAGTGCAGTTCGTGCTGCATGTGCAGGATTTCTATCGAAACCAGTCACCAAATTTGGAAATCGTAACGGTTCCGTAGCCATCCCTTTTGGCATATAACAAGTATTAGCAAGCAAATTTGTCATTGGTTGTGCCGGCCTAAAACAGTTACAAAAGAAAACTATCTTTTTAAAATAAACTAGGATAAAGACAACATAAAGTGAATTTTCATTTAAAAAGAGTTCTTACAGAGGAGATGTTTCTACGATTTCATATCCTAAAGTAGGACGCCAAGGATGTGGTTTTGGAGTTTTATAGAATTCTCCAACTCTGACCGAAATCGGTGGACCAGTAATTTGTTCCATGCATGATAATACACCTACTGTAGTCCATGGTTGAAGTTGCTAATATTAAAGCAATAAATTAATATCGTTATTTACTATTTAAATTCATATAAAGACAAACCGAATATATAACAGTTTCTTTTCCTGCTCCAATTTTGTTAGTATCCATTGTATTTTTAATAACTCAGATTTTAGTTAGAAAAATTTAATATCGACAAAAATTTTATTTCTATGAAATAATTTTTTACATTTCACTTAATTTGATTAACAATCTCATAAAATAAAATAATCTAATTTGAAATGAAGGTTTATTTGAAATCCGGAAACAAAGTTATCACGTGACGTCTGTCATATGATTCTAGCCTAGTCAGGTGCTCTGTTACCTTCTGCTCGATCGCAGTTAATCAGTACTTATCTGACTCGCCCAGTTCTGTTTGAGTAAAAACATTATGACACGATTTTGTAGTGCTTTATGTTTCGTTCTAATAATAACTGTAGTATTTGAAATTTTACCTTCACACGCTGATAATGCAGTACCCGTATTACTATGGGGTGGATCAGTTAATTCTGATTTAGCAACAAGTGCAGTGAATCCCTTTTTAAAGACTACTAGCGAAGAATTTGATCTTTTCTTACGTAAAAAGTTAGAAAATTCACCACCAGTTCTTCTCTATGTAAAAGATAATTTGTGCATTGAAGATTTAGTGAAACACAAACAGGTTATTATAATGTACTTGAATAGTATTGAGTTCAACTCATCTACTTATTGATTTGAATATTAATAAAATTTTTAATCTTTTAGCATCTTCAGAAGGTTACTACAGGCGACTCTTTACATTATTTTCCTGCTGTTGAAAAAGCAGCAAGCACTGTTGAAGATTTACCTTCATATAATCAGACATACAATGACTACATGGATTCTATATCTGATGGTCAATTATTGATTGTATCTATTAGTAATTTAGATATTATTCCAGAAACTTATAAGACTATAAGAGATTCCAACCCGAATTTAATAGCTGTGCTCACAGGGAAAGCATGTAGTTATAGACGGTCTGAACGAGTAAAAAGAGACAATTATAAAGAAAACGCCTCTGAACCTTTTATTGTTATATCACCTAGAGTGTTATTGTATTCTAGTCAAGGTTTATTAGTAAAGGTAATGTCATCAGCATTTTGTTTTATAATTTAATTAATATATTTTTTGTGAACAATAATTCTTATATTTGATAGTCTGAAAATGGGAAAGCTGCAATATCACTTCCACTTAACGCTAATGTTACTGAAGACACCAGAGCATCCAGTCTAAACTTGCAATTAGCATTTCAAGGAACTGATGCACTTATATATAAACATGAACTTGTCTTTATGTTTGAAGTTAGAACTGCAGGATATTATACATTTAAAACTGCTAATTATACATATTACACCGGAACAAATAGTACTAACAAAAAAAGCAAAGAACAGAGTTTAACAACAGACACAGATATTGTTTTTCCATTTAATTTCTCTTATCATTGTTCACAATATATTATATTTAAAAATAATTTTACACTGTTAAATATTACAAATTTACAAGTACAAATTGATCCAAAATATGATAATACTAGTAGGACAAAAATATTTGATGATGCATATGATTGTGTTGGTTTTACTACAATTCCAATTTGGACAGGAATATTTGTTACTAGCATATTAGCTTTAATTATAATTTGGGCTCTTACTATGATTATAGATATTCGAACAATGGATAGATTTGATGATCCTAAAGGAAAAACAATTACAATTTCAGCTCAGGAATAGTATAATAACGTTATATTACTAGAAATATTATGTATATACATACTATAATATGTCAGAAATCAATAAATTGTCAAATAGATTTTGAGTTCCATATTGGTAATTTATACATGTATAATATACGTTAGGACATTTCTAATGTCATAAACTTTCTAAGTACACTTAATTGTAATATTGATATTAATTTGATGCAATAATATTTTGCTCTAAGATTATGATAAATTTAATCATTCCATTTACCTAACATTGTACTATTTTCAGTATTGTATATTTTTTGTATATGATAGTATTTCTTTCTGTAGTATTTGCGGTGTATAATTTGTAAAAAAATTTTATTTTACAATGATAAACAGAAGACATAATACTATGTACTAGCAAGTAACTAGATAAATATGCTACTATATCTTTCAACAATAGAACAATATCGACTGTAATAAGGTATATCGAATAATGTTAATATAGTTGTTTCATACAAATACATATAAATACGCACATATACCTATGTATAAATGATATCTTATAAAGTCATATAAATCTTTCATTCCTTTATTAATTTTTCTTTAGTTAATAATGACTGTAAAGATACATTTTATGATACTATAATATGAATTTATAATATATATAATACATACAATATAAATTTAATTTCAGTTACATATAACATGCTGGAATCTTTGTATCATGTATTACAATGAATACCATGGAATAAGGTGGTAAAGTAATTGATTGTGATAATTCTAATATTATAGGTCGAAATGGTGGTAAATTTCCATTAGATTGCAATTTCAATATTTCTCCATTTATTTTGATGGTTCTAAAAACAATTGAAATGAAATAAAATGTAAAATAATTTATTTCTGTGAAAAGTAATTATTATATACCTTGACTGTAGATTATCAGAAGTAAGTGCATATAAAAATACTTTAGCATTTTTATGAAATACAGGGATTTCTTTAACAGAGATATAAATAGGGATTTTATTTAAATTAATCCCAAATATTGTAATTGCTGAAACTCCATTAATCCATGCATTCTCAGGAGTACAATGTGCATAAAATCGTATATAATCAATATTTATTGGTGATAATTGTAAAACTTTTTCTGAAACAAGTTGCTTGTAAATGACACTAACCCACCAGTCAGGATTTGGCATAAGATCATCTCCAATCATAGCATAGTTCCCACCAAATAATGTTTGCCTAGAAACAACATTTAATCCTACACTGGCAGCATATCCCAATTTATCAAGCCATAAAAATCCAGCCACAAATCTATCTGATAGTTTTGGTGCACCTCCACCATAAGCTGTACTTGTTTCTGCTATAAAAATTGATTTTCAGTATTTAAATTCAAAATTATATTTAAAGATTGAAATTGTATTTAGAGAACATGTAATTACGTACATAACCACATAGAAATAGATCTTCCTGATGACTGAATTACTTCTTGCATAGATTTAATTTGCATTGGCAAATAATTAAAAGTTGAAATATTTATAAAATCAGTTAATTGAGCATCTCTCCCATTAAGGTAATATTGATGCCAAGAAAAATAATTAATACTATTTTTATCATTTTCTAAAAATGATTTTGCATACTGCTCTCCTTTGTCATTGATAACTCCTACATGATTTATTTCTGGACCCACAAGAAGGCTTCTGTTATATCCTATATCATTTAACAATTGTCTCAATTGATAATAATCATCTGCAACCTGTGTTGCAGTAATAGTTATATTAAATACATGATGGAAGGAATTTGGTTCTAAAATTTTATAATTATTATGCATTAAATTTATTTAAAAGAAAAACGGATTGAAAAGTGAGATGTAGCTGTACCATTTCCTAGTTGCCAGTCCAATTTCATGTTTTTATTTTTGGCGAACGAAATTATATTTTTAGCATTAATATCATTCCAGGAACCATTTACAGTTCTAAATAATAGATTTAAATCGAATATCATTCGCAATTTTGATTCTACTGTGAAGTTATATAAATTTTCAAAATCTATTTCGTTAATTGTAAAATTACTTATATCTTGGCCGTCTATCGGACTAATTTGTTTTTCGAAAATTATTCGTGTTGTCTGTAATTTAATTCATATAATTTATGTAATGTAATTTACATAAATTGTACATTAAATAATTATATACATATATACAATTTATTCACAATATATAATAGACAAACCTGATTGAAATATAAACAGTCCGCAGAAGTCCCGCCTATTCGAACATAAGCGGGTGCTAGATGTCGAGCTAAATTTATAAATTTGCTATTTTTGATTGGAAGACTTTTCATATCACGAAGTAATGATGTATCAAGTCCAAATGATAAGAATTTATTTGAGACTGTATGTAAAGGTGAATGTCTTGAACTTAAATAAAGTATATGGGTATTAACTGTTTGGTTTATTATAATATTAAAATTCCATACTGATAATATTAAAATAATCATACAAAACCCCAATAAAATTAAACTAAAAATGGGATGTAATGTTGATTCTGAAAGTAGAAATATGTTATCGTATAATTTATTAAATATATTCGAAATTAAAATTTTAAATATTAGACATGCGCAATATAATATACAATATGGCTGATAATATTTATCTGTATTTAACAATATTAATATATAAAAATAACTTAAACACAAAGTAATCATTAAAATGCATATTTCTTCAATTCGAATATGTATAATAAAAACTTATTTTTAATTTTAATTGAATAACTTACTGGTTCGAATTTTATGAGGTCCCTCATATTGATTTTTACCACAATGATTAATTACAAAGTAATTCATAATTTTTGCAGCTTCTTATTTGTCTATATATTTAAAATTAGTTTATATATACAATCTGTATTCGATTTATAACAGAAAACAAATATTTATTGAATATTATAATAATTTTTTTATAATTTACTTACGGGACTTTTTATTCGTTAGGAATGGATGATGTTTTTGCGTTTGTTTTTGATTAAAATTTTTATATCTTATATGACCAGGTTGTTCTATATTAAATCGATTTGAAAATTGTTCCTGTTTAAGAACTTTGATAATTATATTATAATTATATCAAACTTGTCTTTTATATGTTTGTATTAAATGTTTCAATAAAAAATATTGTTTATTTTAATAAAAAAAATACCTCTAGACGAAATTTTTTCAGATAGTGAATCTAAACTGGAACTTGATGATCGAATAAGTAAAGAACGACTTCTGTGTACCGCAATGCGATTACGATAAGACAAACTACGCCGACGTTTCCGTTTATTATTTAATTGCTGTTTTGATTCTGAACTACTTAATTCATCTTCAGCCCAAAAAGGTTGATCAGTGTCATCGGATATTGGTGGTACTAGTGCCGGTGACTTAAACAAGCATATTTAATAAGTATATTTAAATAAAAGTATTTATTTTTAACCATAATAACTTACAATATCTCGAGGGTTTCCAAATGTAAAGTATTGCTTATTTGTGAAATTTAATTGATTTAATACTTCAACAGATATTGTAGTACAAGATGATTGATTTTCATAACCTTCATCATCTTCAGAAGTTTGTATCATTTTTCGTGTATCGCCACTAGCATAATAACCCATTATAAACTTTACTTAAATTTTGATAAGTTAAATAATTATAAAATTTAAATTTTCTACATAGGGTTGACCATACTAATGATTTTTTTGTATTTTATGTATTTAAAATATAAATGTTTTAAGAGTCATTGAGAATAAATGGTAGGCTTTTTTTTATTATGATAGAACAAATTGCATTATCCTATAAGCTATAATTTGAAATATTTATTTAGTACATTTTTTATGTAACATTTTTAGAAAACAAGTTATATTTTATAAAATGTTTTTATTATATTTTTCTTAAAACAAAAATGTCAAATTTTTGTTTAAATCATATATTACAAATAATTATTTTTCTTTTTGTACATTACATGTATAGTATATTCTCATAATAATGAGAAAAGGAAAGATGAGTGATAATAATTTTGTGATTATTAATATAAAATTTACTTTTGTATCTTTTACTGTCATTTGAAAATAATGAGATAAAATTTCGAGTCACTGTATGTTTTTCAGTACATTTTAAACATCTTGCATGTCCAACAATGCCCCTTAATACCAACAGATTCGTTCTTTCTTTCAAATTTTTCAATAAAGTTCTTTAGAACTTTAATGTATATCACATCACACATATGTATACATATAAATAGAAAAATACCCTAATCATTTTCTGATTTTCTACGTTTTTTTGAACGAGGACTATCAGTATCATGTGGACTTGGGGTAATGTGACTTCGTTTTCTTTTTATACTACTTTCACTAGCTTCACTACTACTACTTGCTGCAGTTCTTGTTTCTCTCCTAAGTGTTCCCTCTCCTGTAACTTGCACCAGTATCTAAACAAAATTAAATAATATAACATTTTTTAAAAATTATTAAATGCAAAAGAAATATCATATTTATATTTTTACCTGCATATGTTGTAAACATTCTTCTTGCATTGAAACAGCCATTTTATAAATAAATGTATCATGTTTATTATACATAATGGCATTTTGAAACATTAACATAACATCACGTTGAAAATGCATCGTAGATCTAATTGTACCATTATCTATATTTTTTTTAATAGTGGATAAATCCATAGGTCTAAAGATGACTGAATGGTATCCAGGTGCTTGATCTTCTGTAATAGGTCTCAAAAATACAGATGCATACTTATGTGTAGCAAGTCGATTATAAACAAGCATGACTGCTTTTTTCCATGCTCTATAATCTGCACCTTCTCCAGTTCCTTCATTTTCAGGTTCACTGTCAATAGAAACATTTTGTTTCTTTGAATATGTTTTCATAGCACGTCCTCCACTTAACTTGCTTAATGATGATTCTTCTTCATCTAATTCAACAGTATCTTCACCAGCACTTACTATAGATTCTTGTTCTTTTTTTACATTTTGTTCATTATCTATACCTTTTTTTTCTTCTTTCTCTTCTTTTATTTGAACTTCTTTTTTCACTTCTGATATTAGAGAATTTTCTAATTGGATTTTTGTTTCTTCTTCCATTTTCGAATCTTCATATGTATTTTCTTCTTTTTTAAGAGTAGAAATATCAGATTCAGATTTAATAGGGTCTACAGATTCTGTTTTTGAACTTTCTATTTCTTCTGGAGATATTAATTGAGTTGAATCTTCTACAATTGCTGTTTCTTCTATTTCTTCTTCTTTAATTTCTATATCTTGTAAAATAGAGCTTGTTGTATCTTCTGAAGAATCTTTTGTATCTTCTTTCTTAAATTCATCTGCATATATTTCTAAAGCTTCCTCTGTTTGTTCCTCTTGAGACTTTTCTGGAGACTCTTCACATACATCTATGATAGTTTTCTTTTTTACTACAATTATAGATTCTTCCTTAAACGATTCAATAGATTCTGTACTTTCAATTGTATTTTCTATGATTTGTTCTTCTGTTATTTTCTTTTTATCGTCTAAACTACTTTCATCATCTTCTAAAATTAAACTAATATCTTGAGATTTTTCTGTATCTTCAGTGCTAGGAAGATCATTTGTTACTTCAGATGAAACACTAACAACTTCTGCTGATGGCACATCTTGCTGTTCACCTGTAATTTTAGCAAGATGCATTTCTAATTGATCCAATTCCATATTACCTTTATTTTCTAATTCTTCAGAGGACACTCTTTGCAATTTATTAGTAGGTGATTCTTTAATTCCTGGTACAACTATTTCAGTTTCTTCTTCTACTTCTTCAATTTCGTCTTCTGCTATTTCATCAATTAACTCTTTTGTAGGTATTTTTGAGTCATTTTCTTCAGCTTCTACATTTGAGGTAGAATCCATAGTATCAAATTCATCAACCATTTGTTTTTCTTCTAATGGAATATCTTTACTATTTTCGCCATCCTGAGTATCTAATTCAGGAACAAGCTCTTCATTTAATGTTACCCTTCCATCACATGTATTTTCTTCAGATTTTATTTCTTCTGATACATTTGTTATGTTTTCAGATACTTCAGTGACTTCAATGACTTTTGGTTCTGGTGGTTCAATAGCAACTGTTCCAATAATTTCTGCAATATTTGATGTGCTTGAATCAATTTCTTCAATAGCCATTTCACTTTCTGGTGAATTAGAAAGTGATGCAACTTCATCTACATCTCTTGGTTCTGGTCGTTCTGTTACTACTGGTACTTCTTGAATTTGGGGTACAGTAAGGGTATTAATCGTTGATGTAGTTGTATCTAAAGTTTGTGGACTACCAGTAATTTCTTCCTTTATTAACTCTTCTATATCTCCAATAATTTCATTAATTTCATCTTTATCTATTACATCTGTCATTATATCTTTACGTATTACATCATCTATGTGATCTATAATCTGTACCATACTTTCTGTAGGTGCAATATTTTGAGTATTAATTGTAAGAGATTGAGTAGGTACAGGTGTTTCATTTTGAACTGTTACTTGATGTACAGGCTGAGGTTGAAGATTATGAACTTCAGTAGGCACATTTTGTTGAGATACAATAGTTGGAGTTGGTTGTAAATTCGGTAGAGGACCCCTTTGTGCATTGGCAGGCATTTCTAATAGCATAGATAAAGTTGGTGCACCAACTGATGGTTTTTCTGATTGTATATTTGAAATTGCAGAGGTAACCAACTGATACAGTGGTGATACATTTTGTGTCAATTGAGAATTTGGTACTTTTGGACTGGAACCAAGTAGGCTTGTGATTGTAGGAGAGCTTACTTGAGCTGTAGTGGTTGAGGTTTGAATTTGTGTTGTTGGACTTGGTGATTTTAATAAACTTGTTAATAGTGGTGACCTTCCTCCTCTAGTTTTCTTTTCATCTTCATCTAGAGTTTCTACTGATTCTTGAATTTCCACTAAATTTTCAGTAGATTTACGTTGACTTACGGTGGAGACTGTTTGTGGTGAATTCGATTCTTGCTTCTGTTGACGTTTTGCTAACCATGCAGAATGTGCTCTTGCTTTTTGTTCTTGTTCCCGTTCTTCTTGCTCAATTGCAAGCCACATCTTCTGTAATTTCTCTTCTGTTAGCAATCCAGATTTTAACATATTTATTTCAGCTTTAAGCTGTTGATATTCATCTCTTTGAAAAGATAATATTTGACCTAGTTCAGTTATCCTTTCTTGTGTTAATCTCCTAACAATTGATTCGCCTGTGGTTTCACCACTTTCCCGTTTTTTTCTTTTGGGTGCATCTGCATTTTCTAATAAATGTGCATATTGAATAGCACAAGATTTCTGAGAAAACCAATCAGGGGGTCTTAATGTTTCTTTTTCAACAAATACTTTTAATGAGCGTGATACACTCATCCAATTTTGATCTCCTGACTTTAATACACTAGAAGCCAAACATAATTGTTCACGAGTACTCCAATTGTCATATGATCTTTTTAATTTTAATCCTGTAAATAAATATTATATTGATTGATAAATGTATATTATGTACAGTGTTTACTTTTAATATTGTTTTAAGATAAGTATGTGTAATATTAATATTTTGTTGTTGTTAATTTGTTGTTTACATTGTATAGGTTAAGAAATGAGGATTTATTTTTTTACATAAGCATAAAAGACTGAATAGCAATATATCACAGTAATTACTAAAATAATTAAATATTTATAATGTAATACTGCTGTAATCTATAATTATTTAAGTTTAAAACCTATATGTTAATATTTGATAACTCTGTTAACCTCCAAATCGTGAACTATAATCAGTAAATAAATAAATAAGTAAACTTACTGTCTTGCACTGATGTCATTTTTTTTTAAAAAGAACTTTATCTTTTTTTTTTTAATATGTACACGTAAAAATATAAAAAATTTTAAACAAGTCAAGTACTAAAAATTTCTTCGTTTAGAATTTTTTGTTTGTTGGTTTATATACATACGTATTCCACCTATTCCCCTGAAACATGGAATGAGTGGACAGCTGATTTCAAACATGAATTCGAGGAATATGAGAAACAGAAGTGTAATGGCGGATGCAAAGTAAGCTGTCAAAGTATGGTGCATTATATTTTTGCTTTGATTCATGAACAATCGAATATAGCTGGTGAATGATTAAATAAAAAGATAGCAAATATGCGCTATGTATGTGAGATTATGAAATAAGTAATGCAAACGATATAATTTGTATATATAACTGAAAGTGCGAATCACTTGTATATACCAATTAATATCTCTTAAAACTGGTTCTACTCTACAATGATGAATAATCGGAGGCGAACAAATAATTTTACTTATGTTAGTTCTTGTGTGAAATACATGATATTTATGCTCAATTTTGTTTTCTGGGTAAGTAAATGTTCTGTATGTTTCATACAATTGATTACTTTATTATGGTCATAATTAATAAATGGATATATAAACAATTAAATAAAAAATTGTATTGCATGTACTTATTATGTATGAATGAGAAGAATAAAATTTAAAATATTTTATTTTATTGTGCAGCTGTTTGGAGTACTTCTAATTGGAGTAGGTTTATATGCATTTGTGGATAAATGGCAAGCAACCGGTTCTGTTAGAATAGAGAATGTATATGATGTAGTTCTCAATATTTCACTTGTAATGGTTATTGCAGGAGGAGTAGTTTTTGTTGTTAGTTTTGCAGGATGTGTTGGAGCATTACGTGAAAATACTTGTCTTCTAAAGTTTGTTAGTACTATCAAATTATATTGAAATATTATATTTAATAGTTTATTAACAAATGATATAATTTATTTATTGTAGTATTCACTATGTCTACTGGTATTCTTTTTGCTTGAAATGGGTATAGCAATTGTTGGTTTTGTATTTCCACATACATTGCAATCATTATTGGAAGAATCATTCACAGATAAAATTATACAAACCTATAGAGAAGACCCTGATCTACAAAATTTTATTGATTTTGGCCAAAAAGAAGTAAGAAATTTTTTAAAGAAATATTTACTAAGGTGTATTATTATGATTAATAATATTAAAACAATCAATATTTATATGAACAGTTTAGGTGCTGTGGTTTAAGCCAAGAAGGATATTTAGATTGGGGAAAGAATGAATATTTTAATTGCTCCAGTCCTAGTGTAGAACATTGTGGTGTACCATTTTCATGTTGTATTAATGCTACAGACATATCAGTAAGTATCTATTACATTTTATTAACAAGAATATACTACTTAAAATAATATTTAAATTTCTAGGGTGGTCTTGTGAATATAATGTGTGGCTATACAGTACAAATGTTACCAGTATCTGAAGCAGGCAAAAAAGTATGGACTAGCGGTTGCATTGAAATTGTACGAAGTTGGGCAGAACGCAATTTATATACAATAGCTGGTATTGCTTTAGGTATAGCTCTTAGCCAACTATTTGTCATTTATCTTGCTAAAACACTAGAAGGACAAATTGAATTGCAAAAGTCTCGTTGGCATTCCTAAGCTTGACTTCAGGCCACCTACCGCTATCAGATTCATTCCCCTCCTAGTAAGCAGGTGGCCAGTGGCCGAACAAGAGGCCAAGATAATGAAACAAATGTAAATGTTCGAATGACTTTACTTGTTCTTTTTGCGATCTCTGTTTACATACTCTGTATTCTTTCCATGATCAGACTTGTTCTTTACTTCAAAAATTATTTTCATGTATATTTAAGCAAAGGCTAACTTTTACTTTCTTTTATATATTGTTCTATTTTTATAACTTTTTTTTTGTCTTCATTACTAGTTTATTCTATATCTTTATAGACAGATGGTTAAGTAATGTAACCATGTTTTTCTCTTTTTTGAGATTTTTTACAACTTGCATAATTATAACTTGATTACATTTAAATTGTAGTAATTCAGGCGAAAGTAGAACATCTAAAATTGAAAATTATTCAGTATACACATTCAGTTACATATAAAATTTGTTGCAAAAATTACTTACATATAAAGAAAAATTTGTATTAGGTATAAAATTAATTAAATTTTAAAATAAACGAAATCGATTTTATAATAAATACTGATTCTTTCATTTATATATAATTTATTATAAAATATATGTTTGTATGAAACTAAATTTCATATGTTGGTAATTTTTGCATAAAAATTTTGAAGCATTATTTGCACATTATATGTAATTGTATTATAAGAAATCGTCAAACCTTTAATTCTCAAGCGGCTTACCTTAGATCATTTTTGATCCATCTCTAATTACATGTGTATGCACAATTAAATAGTCATTTGTATTATAGATAGTACTATATTTTTCAGGATATATTCTCCTATTATTTATGTTTTAATATGTTCTTCCGCCTGAGTCTTAGGACACACGTTCAATAATATCAGTTATTTATGGTATAATGCAATTTGCAGCAATATTTACTATAATACCAAGAAGTAAAATTCCATTTAGAAATATATTGCATTATCAAGAAAAAGTGATTAGTGTGTGTACGAAAATTTTGTAATTATTCGAAATGTTACATCTGTATTGATAATGATAACAAGTTTACAATCAAATGTAAAATCAGTAATAGATATATTTGTACAATTCATTCTAAGATAAATCATAATATTTTATGTGTTAATGATGCAAATAATGAATAAAAGTAATTGATTTTTTTTCTATTTATTTTCTTTTTTCAAGTAATCTTTTATTGCTACTTTCATTTACAATTTGTTAATGATATAATAACATACAATCTTGATAAAGAAACTATTTCTGAAATATATAGTCACATAGGTGATAAATGACCTAGGGTTAGCCGCCCTTGATGCTGTCAATTGGTCAGCAATCTAAAGGTTAAATGTCCTATAAAAGACTTGTATAGTTTAAGAAGTAGATACGGTTCATAAGAGATTCGTAATCTTTTATATTAATGTTTTCTTATAGATATATTTACATAATTATTTGTTGAAATATTTCACTATGTGTGTTGCTATGTAAAGTCTTTATGTTTTTTATATCAAGATCTATTCAATTCGCCAAAATGTAATAAAATAATGATACAGTTAAAACACGCACATGGTTGAAAATACAAGTTAATGTCTCTTTTGCTATCTATTCATCTTTTTTAACATTTATATAACCATATTATAGAACTATTAGTAAGTGTATACTTACTTTTGAATCAGTAATGTTGAGTCTTTTATTGTTCAATGATAGAGTAATTCAAGTAAATTCAAAAAAAAGAAAAAAACGTCCAGTGCCAAAGTCAAAGTATTATTATCATTTTATTTGAAACAAATCTGACAATAATCTGGTATAAATGATTTGTTTATTAAGTACATACATATTACATCTGTGTATCTTTTTATCAAGAGTAATTGTAAATTTGATATATAAAACCATCTAGTTTGTAATAAACAAATATTATTCTAAAACTGTGTTCTTACCACTACCAATAAATTATTATTTACTTGTAAATCATATTAAAAAAATTAATAGACCAAAAAGTAAACAACTACTATCACTTATTATAATTGTTTATTTATAGAAAGAAATATCTACAAATAAGCTATCAGAATATTCTAAAATAACACTTTGTCCATCAATAAGTTCAGAATTTTCAAATAATTTTGTCAATGGTATATCCATTTCATTACATATTAATGCACCAGTTGTATGATGAAATAGTTGTAGTTTACATGCCCCTGCTACATTATTATTATTGGATATTTTTAATATATCAGCTATTGCATCTATAGCTTTTCCAACTGGCCAATTCATGTTCACATAAATACCTTTTGATGGTCCTATATGTTTATTAGATGTTGTAGCTGGGAGGTATACAAGAAAATAACAACGTTCATTCATTGGTACATTCTTAGGACCAACAGCAGAACCCTTTATACGCATAAGCCTTACCTAATTGAATAATATTATAAACAATTATAATATACCAATAAATAGTATTCTTTTTTTTAACTTTTTGAATATTAGAACATACTTTATTAGCCATTGCAGTATTTTTGGATTTCTTTAAAGTATCTGAAATTTCCTGATCCACTATAGCTTTTGCTTCAGCAAACTGTTTTTTAGGTATTTGCCATTTTTTTAATTTTGTCGTTTTTTCTTCATTACTATATTCTAAACATCCATGATATCTATGTTGTAGACAAAAATGTTTTTTACATTTAATGCATTGCATTTCAATAGGTGAAGTTTCTTTACAAGATTCATCTGAACATGTATAATTTGGAGCTTTTTTTTTAGTATATGAGATTTTATATTTAAAACCTAAACACTTATGAGAAGCAATATGAAAATGTTCTTTGCAAAATAAGTCATGGCAATGATTGCATTCAAATGGTAAAAAATCTAATTGTTTGCAATCTTTTATTGAACATCTTTCCCCAAGGTTTGGAAATTCCATTTTTAAATCTATAAATAGAAACACGAATACAATATACGAAAAAATAATTAAAATAAATGATTAATGTATTGGTTATGTTCAAGCCTTATAGGTAACGAGATGTTACCTATTTAATTATGAGATGGTGTTGGTGAATGTAAGTGGTTTTCACTGAGAGTTCTTAAAGCTAGATTATTCCACTTTTGTTCTAATTCTTTCAGTGTCATATGAGAATCACCATTGTCACTTTCAGGATCAGGTAATTCTGCTACTGGTACTAAAATATCGTCAATAGGCAAACGTTCTTTATGCCAAATTTCATCAATTAAGTCTAATAATCTACCATCTCCACATACTTGACTGTCCATACCGTAAAATACACTACTTTTCTTCTTTTTGATATTTTCTTTTATTTACAGTGATATAAAATGACGAAACATTACAATAAATTATTAAATGCAACAAAGAAAGCAACACTGAAAAATCTTTATCACTAGTTTAGTGTAACAAAGATGGGAAACTCTACAAATAAAATTAAATATCAAATAGTATTACCATCGATTAAGATTTTATATTCAAGCATATATATAAATTATAATTAAAATAATATATAAAATAAAATAAAACGACATTTTATAATTTGATTTATTGTTTTTATTCAACTCTTTTACATTAAAAAACTTAAAATAATTAAAATTTTCGATTTAATAATTAAAGCTAAACATTTAAGAGTCAATATAATGTAAATTATTTGAAATTGTACATGCACTGAAGAATGAATTTAAAAATAATTACATCTTTTGGTATATAATTTAATTATACAATTTATCACAATCTATGTGCCGGTTTTTTTATGCCTTAATTGTTTATTATGATTGTTCCTTATAATCATTCTATGTACTTAGTTATTCTTCATAGTGGACGATTTTTCTTTTTAGATCTTATTAATCGTTTCCTTTGTTATGTTTACTGAATAGTCGATTTATATCACGTTTTTAGTCTATTTCTTTACAAACACCTTCTTTATCATCGCATAATAGTCCCTCGACGCAAGGACAAAAAATATAATGGACGTCTTCTAATTTCAGTTCAGTACCATCCGGATATCCAACCGTTACGTTGAGCGTTGAAACATTACCTGGTCTACAAATCTCTCCTTCTTTTTGCATAGATTTACATTGTGGTATACTATACCTTAGTGGTCCTACAATTGTACTAGTCATTAATATTCTTTTTTGCAAATTGAATTATTTTTTAGTTTACTAAAATACAATAAATACCTATAGTACAACAATGATCTGGTTGACATTCTGAATTATTTTGACAATATCTGTAATCCGGCCTATTAACTTGCGCGTGACAGGAACATACCAATGCAAATAAAAGAACAGAAATCGCAAAAATTGGCGTCATCGTTGTTATTTTTGCTTGCTGACTCCTGCAACGAAAACGTATTTGTTTTCCTTTTAGTTTTTAACGATTGAACATTGTAAGATTTAATAAAAAAAATGATGTATGGGATTTATTATAACTATTAATTTAATATAACCTTTGCGGCCAAATTTTTTGTTCAATTTAATCATTTATTTCGAGTAATGCGTTTTAGGAAGTGTATAAACTATGTTGCGAATGATTGTCTTATATGGAGCGATCTTTGTTTGAAGTTTGTGATTAGTCACACATTAATAGTAAATACAAAATGATACACCACTCAAAATTATTGCACTATATTCAGTGCCTACCTAATTTTAATGTTCCCTAAATATTTTATTATGTGATTTGGTTATTGTTAGTTTCTTGTTCATAATAAAATATTATACATTATATAGTATAGTATATTATAATTAGTATAATAAAACAAATTGTTTTGGAAAGAGTAGTATAGTTGATGTGTTCAAGAACTAAAGGCCTATTGAATGCCTAAGATACAAAGCATAGTTATAAATGGTTTGAAATGTCATTCAGAACAATAGAATTTTCTTTAGAATACATTCGAGGTGATTAAAAGATCAGTTGTACATTCGTAAAAATATCTAATACTTAAAAAATTGTATTATATTACATAAATTAAACATGTACTATAAATATTGTTATAGTATGTTTTTAATTTTTCTTTTGTTGGAAATTGTTTAAATAATTGCGTAAAACTGCAATGGACCATTATGATCTGTGCAATATTTACGAATGTGGCGGGTTTTGATGCAACATGCGTAAGTAACTACATGTGAGCAGTATGATCTTTTCTCTAGAGAATTTTTCTAAATGTAAAACCTTTTTTAAAGTTCTACAAACTTCAACATATGAAATATCTATATTGTTATGTTTATAAGTATAAATTCATAAACATTTTTACTTAATTTCAAATATTGTATTAATCATGTGCACCCGACATTTCTGTTCCTTTTCCTTTTTTCATTAGATAAAAATCTATAAGGATTATAAATGTGTATGTACATGTATGCGAACACTTACGAATCTTTCACGCTGTCTGCACTCAGCAAACACTTGTTCACATTTGATCGCGTAAACCGATGAGTCCGTTGTTTTTATATCGGCGCTTCCTCCGCTTCTTTCGTTTCTCTAAATAAAAGGTTCGCGCCCATTTTTACTCAAAAGAATGATTTACGTTTGATACACCTTTAAATATATTAAATTGCTTGTGTTGCCTAGAAAACACATTATTAAAGACAGTTATTTCACACATCATTTGTACAGTATATTGTACATAATGTAATGAGTATTTTTTTCTAAACAAAAAATGGCAATTTACCGATCGATTCAAAAGTTTGAAATCGATATGAAGATTATACAAAAGGTTTCATGGTGAATTTATATGATTATTTTGATAAAGTTTTTATGCAAATTGTACCACATAATTTATTTTGTAGATATGTAAATAATAAATTCAATGTAAGAACGTCTGCTTATAATTACGGTATTACGTAATCTATTGAATGGAAATCCCGTAAAGTGAGATCGCATCAGATCCTGAAAGCATATACATAAGATTGATAATTAATGATATTATTTGTTTCGTATTAATATAATGATATCGATTAGTAGAAATGCATTAGATTAAACATTCAGGATTTACCAATCGGATTTATACGTGCCAAAAAAATCAAGATTTATGAAAGAATGTACGAAATTAGTCATTTAACTAACATTAAGTTGTTTTTTTCAGTTAAATATAGATATATATAACCTGACAGATTTATTATGTTAGTTTATACGTCACAGTCCTATTAAGTATTTCTTCATTCCTGATTATTCATTTTCTATTTTATGTTATCATAAAACCAGCATTTCCGTTGTAACTAATTCGTATTCACCTGCGGGTATTAGTAATTGCATAAGTTCAATTCAGTGCCGAACGATTTGGTAACATCAATATATTTCGATGCTTCTCCGCCAGATGTTCTTACTTTCGTTGAGCATACCCTTCCTATAGATAGAATAGGTAAAACTGGAAATAACCTCATATCCCATGCAAAGGGTTACGATGTTTTCGGTTTTGTGGGGTTACAACTATTTATAAAATGAGCTATTTCATTGTGTGCCATTTAAAATGGTCGAACACATGTTAACGGTGTTAAATACAAGTTAATTCATTGCTGTGTGTTTCAGCATTAATTAACAATTTATCAATAAATTACTATTTTAGTGATGGAAGAAATACTTTTGTGAAATCGGTGTCTCGACTTTTATTTTTAATTTTTTATTAATTCAGTCATGGTAATTTATATATACCATTATATATAATATTTAAGAATGTTACATAAATATTTAGTATTACTCTAAGTAAATAATTAAATGTTTTAGGCTCTTTTAGGAGCTCAGTTAGTTATTACTCTCATTATGGTCAGTATTATTCAAAAATTAACTCCACATTTTTCTTTGGCAAGATGGATCTTATGTTCTACTGGGTATTTGTTTTAATAATAAGAATATGATTATATAAAATTAAGAATTAATGAAAAATATTATGATTATTTAACAGGTTAACAGGTTACTTGTATCCAACTGATCAGCAACTTAGAATTCTTGCTGGTTTGCCTAAAGAGAAATCCAAGAAAGGCAAACACACAGAAAATGGGAAGGTTAGAGATGTTTTTCATGTTCCTAGAAATTTGGATATTACGCTTGAGAGTACTAAGGTAACTACATTAGATGTAGTACATTTAAAATATTATACAGAGTACCAATGGTTATTGGATTTTTCTATCTATGCTACTGCAGTTTATATCATGACAGAGGTTGGTAATTATAGCTTTTTTATATTTACAATTTTATAACACCTTGTAGTTGTATTTCTTTGCCATTTAACAGGTATATAATTATTTATATCCAATTAAAGATGAGATTAATCTAAGTATGCTTTGGTGCTCATTAGTTTTGGGTTTTGCATTGTATCCTTTTTATGGTTGGACTTATATTATTGTAAAATTACATTGTTCTCTTCAAAACATATTTTTCTTATTTTCCTAAATTAATGTTTAGCAAAGTGCTGCTTTCTCTTTGGGTGCAATATTTTAAAGGAGAGGAGAGTATAGGTGAAAGGTCTACATGTATTGTAACTGGATTTGCTTATCTTCTCATAGCTATGATAATTCTTATTGTTGATGAGAATAATCTTGAAATTGGATTGGATAAAGCTTATGCAAGTTTCAACCATAGTGCATCTCTTTTTTTAGACAATCAAGGTCTTTCTTCTGCGTAAGTTTATTAAATTAATACAAAAATCAGTACAAAAAATAATAAGTATTCATCATATTTTTGTTTCATTCTAATAATGAATAATAATAAAAGATAATGAAATAATTTTTCTTTTATAGAGGACCGGCATCAAAAATTGTAGTGAAATTCTTCCTTGCTTTATGGTGTGGTTTACTTGGTTCTTTGTTCACTTTTCCTGGATTGAGAGTATCAAAAATGCATTGGGATGCATTAAGGTAATAAGATTAGATAAATTTTTTAATTTTTGATAGAATTTAATAAAAATTATATATTTCAGGTATTATAAAGATCAAAAGTTATTATTATTAATAGCAAACATCAGTTATGCTTCTCCACTTTTATTAGTAAGCTTGTGGATTAAGCCTATAAGCAGAGATTATCTTACAATGCGAATATTTAGTGGTATGAATGGACCATTGTAAGTTAGAAAATAATAATTGCTTTAATATGCTTATACATCCAAGTTTCTTTTTATAGATACATTTTTACAGGATGACAACTTCAAGCTTTGAGAGTATGAGATTAATTGCAATTATTGTTGCAGTTTTATTAAAATTTTTATTAATGCCAATGTACTTACAATCATATCTTAATTTAGCCACACAAAGATTAGAGAATCAAAAGAAAGAAGCTGGTAGAATTACAAACGTAGATTTACAAAAAAAGGTATTAAAAATAATTGGTAAAAAGAAGTATAATTAACCACATAATACAATAAAGACTTTTCTCATAATTTGTTTCAGATTGCTGGGGTGTTCTACTATTTGTGTGTTGTGGCTTTACAGTTTATTATTCCGATAATTATATGTTTATTTTTTACATTTATGTATAAAACATTAGGTAATACAAATATTGATAGACTGTTTTATTAATTGTGAATATTATCTCGTAATTACTTTTACCCATTAGGTGGATATACGTGGGAAGGATTTCTACAAGGATCGTTACTCGAAGAATGTCCAGCCGATGAACCACCAAAATCCGTATTAAGTGTGATGAATGGAGATAATAACGAAAAAACTGTTGTGCAAACGGCGCAAGATTTCCAACTTGCTTTAAGTTCTTTAAAACAGGTAATGATTGCAATGTAATCATCACATTTCTGTTTAATGTTTACTAAAAATTAGGTATGCATAATCTAAAAAAATATTATATTATGTTTCTTATTTAACAGATATTCACCGTGGATGTGTATAGAGGATTATTAGGTTTAGCAATATGGTGGAGTTGTTTTGCATTGTTTGCAACTACCGCTATGGGTATGTTTTATCAATCATACTTCTCTAGCATGTAAAATAATATCATGAAAGGGAATATTTCTCGTCACTTCGCACAAATTTATGTCGTTTATATCACAGTTGATTTATCAATACTAAAATCATTGGATGATTTAACAAATTTATTTTAAACATGACATTTTCTGAGAATTGTACCTACACTAAGGTATGCACAATACTGGCTGTTCAAGGGAAACATTAATATTAACTTTAAAAATTTTATAATATTCATAATAATAAAAATCTTACAACTATAATATGTATAAATATATTGAAATTAAAATGTAAAGTAGACAATTGTGTCATTGCATTGCGGCCTTTATATCAGATATTGTATATAGCATGCAATATTTATATACAAATTTAGAACAAAATTTTATTATATGAAATATCAAACTTAAAGATAAAAAATAAAAAAATGTTTTATAATTAAAAATTTAAAAATGCTTCCGAATGTGTGCGATACATAAATAAATCGAAACATTGCTAGTGAAATAATCTATTTAATATTCTATGAACGGTTAACTGATTACAATTAATAACTCGTCTTCGTATTAAACTTGACGAAAGCAACTTTCATCGGTAATATTATGATTATATACGAATCAAACAGAAATATTTTAATGCATTGTATATATCCATTTTAATAATATTTTACTGAAATCTTGTATATATTTCTCATTAAAATTTTATGTACGATAATTGATTAACAGTATCTTGGTTTCTAATGAAAATTATAAGAACTTAATGAAATCCTTTTATTTACCTTTTTTATTTTTTAAAAGTTGAATTATTGTATACTTCGTGACATTGAAATGATCTATAAAAGGGAAACTATATCGAATGATCGTTATTCAAGAATTGTGCTACTTGGTACCTCGGAGAAAGTGTGATTATATGTACTGAAAATGTGTCGATGCAATGCTACTCACGTATTAACCTGGCTGCTTCCGTGATATATAACTCCCCACAGAGTATCTTAGCGTCAGAATAGTGTGTTGATTTTCGTCGGTGATAATACTGTCGTTTGTTTTAGTGAGAAACTTTCAAAGTTTTTACAAAAGTACAAAATGTTGGTAAGTGTCACTACTTTATTATTATCATTACCTATTTTAATGAAAGCCATTATTTTCAGAAATATATAACATTTTTTTGTATGTTGGTCCTTTCGGTACTTGCCGAACCACCGATTCAAGGTGTAAAACCGACAAATGTACTTGGCACTTCTGATCAGCACGCGTCTTTCAGTTTTATTAGACCAGGTTTAACGCAAACAGCCTTCGCTTTCAGTGGCCCTAGCTCTCACCAATCGTTTAGTTCCAGTGTAGGAAATCCACATTTAGCGCAAAGAGTTCTACCAAATGTTGCTAATGCACTTGCTTATAGAAATCCTGGTTTAGGTTGGTAGCATATTTAGAATATATGATTCTTTTCCAAAGTAGTTACAGTCGATATGTATTTATTACATTAGGTGTATTTCCGGTTGGTCATGTCGCACATGGTTATGCAAATGCACCAGTTGCACCTACATTTGTGTCTTCTGCATCTGCACCATTACCTTATCAAGCTTCTGTCGATCCAGCTAATGTACTAGCTTATTATCAACAATTACAACAAATTCAACAACCTCAGTTGCATGGCTATCCTACAGTTAATACGTATCAAGCACAATTAGCGCAATTACTTGCTTTGCGACAAGCACAAGCACAGTCTCAAGAACATATTCAAACTACACAAGCACAAGTAAGAATAATATATAAAACATCATGTATCAAATACACCGAATTGCATGTTATATTAAATTCAATTGCGATTTCTATTTAATAGTAATCGTCTATAGGTGGCTGAACAGACTCACTTGCAACAAGATCAACAACAGCAACAACAACAGCAATCTCAAGATTTATTAGGAATTGCTTATTCATCAGCACCGTCTGTAGCGCGAGTAAAAGTTTCTGGAAATGGTTATAAATTTGATTTCTAAAATATATAAAAATATTGTATGATCTTAAATTTCATATTTTGTACTACTATTTTTTATTTATTTATTTATATTAATTTAGTGCGAATATGTACTTTCTTGAATGTTAGTGTTATTTAATAAATTGATTTCAAATATTGTAATGTATCTAAATATTTGTCTTCATTCTTTGCATTTTGAATTTATTTATTTTAAAGGTAGGATCGATATATTATGTAATTGTACTATTGTTTAATAACTTTATTAAAGTTTAAAAGAAAAATTAAATCACCTATAAAAAAAGGCCCCGGGGGGATTCGAACCCCCGATCTCCTGTTTACTAGACAGGCGCTTTAACCAACTAAGCCACGGCGCCGTTGTTTGTATTTTTCTATTATAAATATTATAGGTAGCATTTACTATTCATTTCTCACATTTCTTACATTATTTTTTAATAATTATATTTCTTATTTCAATACAAAAGTATAATGAAATTATAATATAAATATACAATAGAAGATAGAACAAAAGTATATTACAATGCTGTTCAGAGTGGTAAAAATGTAACTTATATTTACCAAAGTAGTATTTTTATTATTTTCAATTAATATTGTATTTTCATTTAACAAAAATGAAAACATTTATTTGTTTAATAACCGCAGTCGGTAGGACTCGAACCTACGCTCCCAGAGGGAATCTGATTTCTAGTCAGACGCCTTAACCACTCGGCCACGACTGCTCCGTTTAAATTTGCTTTTATTACAAAAGACAAGATTTGGGATCGAAAATTACAATGTTAATCCTAAATTTAAAGAAAAAGATTACAACTGATCTAATGCTGATTTATGGAATATATTGTTTATATACTTAATAGCAATTATTCACAAATGACGTATTAACAATTGTTACATTTACGATAAATGTCGGTTCCTTTACTTTATTAATTTATATATAAATTACTCTTATTTAATCGTTACTGGAGTTATTATTATATTAAAGATTACAGTTGCAAGAAAGATACTACTCTTTTTTAATGCAGTTTAATTAGTAGTTAAAAACCTTGAACTTCTAATTTTCATTTATCTAGTACTCTAATTTTTGTATTCTATATGACCTTTGATTGCAGTTTGTAAGATTTTACATATAGAATTATCTATAGATTACATATAGAACAACTAAACAATTTTATAATTATGAGAAAGATATGCAAAATAAAAATTAAATTTGACAATAAAAATTTTGTATAAGAAAATTTGAATTAAACATAGAATTTCCTAGATATTGTTCATTAAAATTGAAATGATTAAAATAAAATGAAATAAATGATTGAAAACTGTAATGATTAAAATACTTGAGAACAAAAATGGACTTTTTGACCCCGACGTGATTCGAACACGCAACCTTCTGATCTGGAGTCAGACGCGCTACCCTTGCGCCACGGAGTCTTCGTTACATTTATTGATTCTGTACACAATACATTCGGTTATTTTCTTATGTTAAATCATTTTATTATTAATATAAAATTGGTATTAATGATAAAATGTAAAATATAGAAAATATGTTGCTTTTTAAAGAATTAATATTACTTGTGATAAATTTATTTGTGTTTGTCATGAATTAAATAGATTATAATATTAAATTACACGTTTTTTGTTTTATACAGATTTAAAGGCTATTAATATTTAGAATATAAATTCGTTAAACCATATAACATATGTTGTCTTTACACGTTTATAGGATTTTTTAATAGAAAAAGAAGAATTTTATTGTGAATATCTTCCATTGTTTGACTGTTTCAGTGTGTTCTGTGAAAAGCACGTGGTGCGTGCTCACATCCCGCATGCAAGCACTGAATTATCCGAGAAACATATAGATTCAGGAAGCTACCTTTCTCTCTACGTTGAAAAGAGTTTCGCGCGGGTTGTCTCACAAAGCCCCTCCTAATATCAGGATATCATGCAGTTATTGTAACCTGTACTAGCTGATATGCTGTTACGATATTCCGTCATACCTTGACTTTCGCCCGTGAGGAATTTTTTCAACAGGAACGCATGCAGTCAACAGTAATTTCATGATGCCACTGATAGAAGCGCTAGTGTAAATGTTAAGTGTGTATGAGTGTGTATATGTTCTTACACGCATGTCCTACATATCGTGAGCTTCAACTATGTCGAAGACAAATCCCCCACCATTGTTCCGAAGCATATGTTAATTTTAGGGGAAAGCGTAATAAGATTTGATCCATTCATGAAAAAATATAGGAAAGTAACATTGCTTTATATGATCGTGAAGTATAACCAAGAAACGATTAAGATTTATCAAGAGTTTTATTTATTTATATATACGCAGGTATAAGAAACGCATTGTTAATTTCAATTTTGGGGAAAAACGGTGTCACTGTCCCGTGATTGCACCTGCTTTGTATAGGTAAGCCTAGAACATTGGCACACTACATTATCAAGTAAGATTTCAAAGCGGTAAGATATCTATTGCCGCTAAAGATACATTGTGGCCATGGACTGACCGAAATTTCTGACCATGTTGGGTCAATGAGTCAATAAACAATGAAAAGAAGCTGTGTGGCCCAATAAAGTACAGCTACGTCACAGAGGTGCTTAAGGCCCGCGCGGCTCTTCCTCAAAATTGTGTCTTTCCAATCCGCGGCTAACAGGATATACGTGGAAGTATTACCTGCAGCGTTTGATATTTACTACAGTTCATACGTTCCTACTAACCGATCGGTTAAATTGTTGATTATGTCCATTCTATCTGTTAACTACAAGATTTACTGAACGTTTGTAGATATGTAAATAATTTGTACAATTATACAATTTCACGCATATATTGTAACTTATGTTTTATACGATATTTAAGTGACAAGCAGATTGCCACTTTTCTTTCTTATACAGCAGTTTAATTTAACGGTGAATATTACTTTCAGGGAATCACGCAGCAATACATAATTAGTAACGATGTTACAAAGGATGATTTTTTATTACAATAATCTATAATTTATTACGAATATAAGACTTTGACAGTTTATTGCAATGATAAATAGTTTAATATACTATGTATATTCAGGTTTACTTCCATTTCCATAATATTATTTCTTTTGTATGTTATATTAATAATCTATATTATATCTCTTGTTACTATAAAGATATGTACACATATAATAGATAAAAATTAAATTGATAATTTTTAATCGAGGATAGTTATGTATTTGGAAATATGTACCTAGAAAGAAATATATCATTATTTATTGTTCTTTTAGAATGTATAAGATATCGTATAATTAAATTATATTGTCTTTAAGACTTTACTATAAATATGCATACTTACTACGGCTTATTTAAAGGCTTGTCGACCGCACTGGGAAGTAGCACAATGTGTGTGTATACATATATATATATACAACTCACACATATAAAAGGAGAAAACAGGTTAGTCATGCTAAAGCAGCTTCCTTGACTAACATGTTAGCCTAATATAAGGAGGGGCTAAATGAGACAGCCCGCGCGAATGTCGCTCAACTGTACGAGAGAGGAGAAATATAGTTTATTTATGTTATCCTGGTATTTCGCGTCTTGTGTGCGGGATGTGAGCACGAACCGCACTAGGATAGGAAGAAAATGCATATACATGTTACACTTGATACGATAGACTTTGAAGTAGATATACTTTGTAGTATACGTGACAATCTTAATGGTGATGTAACTGTGACAAAATTAAAAATAAATATATACTAATTACTAGTTTATAGTAATCTGAATTATAGTAACAAATGTTATTCCCTGTTTACTAATATTTATTGTTTGAAGATTTTGGTTCACGTATAAAAGAATAATATAACTGCACATTTGTTTCGATTTTACCTTATAATATTGACAGAAACAAAATTAGATAAATATATATTTAATTTAAAAAAGAAGAAAATGTATAACATGTGTTATGCACAATATTCTATAATTTAGAACATGTTACTGTTGAAGTCAAATTGGGTACGTGTTCCCTATAAACAATTATTTGAATAATTATATCATTAATAATCATCAATAGTATATCATATTTATGTATATGTATTAGATATATAAGATAGTTGTAGCTTTTCTAAGGAGTATAAAATATAATTTATATAACTACCTTTAAATTATATTTTACATGTTTATTAAAAAGGGTTGTAAATGGCATTGTGTATCCATAGGGTGTGGTTCGTAGTGGCATCTTCAGAATGAAACATCTATTAGACTAACATGTTATTCAAGAGCATACTTCCATTGGGCTTGCCGAATAGACGGTGATTATATCGTACCTCACCTAGATTTTCTTCTATGGTTGGGATCATCATTTAATAATTAATAAGTAAATTAAATATAGATAGTAATACTTAATTTTTTAAAGTAATGATTATAATTTTCATATATCTGCAATAATATTTTTAAAAACATTATACTTACTTGTACAATACTTCAGTCAATGAATTTGCTTATTTTTAAAATCTTGTTGTGATAAAAAAGTGTTCATTCAATTTAACATAAAAGATAAAATTTATTATTCTCATTAAAATAATTTATACTTATTTATTCTACATAATCGTCTCTGCTAATGTAAACGATGTATCACCATTTTGTTAACCTGAGTAAAAAGTTTATGAAATAGTCCATAGATGTCGTTGCACATGGTGAAGTAGAAACCCTCTTTGTATTACGTAGTTTCCTAATAGGTGTGAACCACGGCGCCGCGTGCCGACGCAACCCATTGGACCTTCAAGGGAGTTGCTACCACTATCTTCTTTCATTAATTGCGCATCGCCGATTTGTGAAGGTTAGGAGAAATATAATCCATGAACGTGTACATGTTTAAACTATTATAAAATAAGACAAAAAGTAAATGGCAGCGGTGGGATTCGAACCCACGCCTCCGAAGAGACTGGTGCCTTAAACCAGCGCCTTAGACCGCTCGGCCACGCTACCGTCGGTGCCTATAATTTTCATATGAGTAATAAACAGAATATAACTAATCTCTGTAAAAGAAAATTGTTTTCTATATGACATCAAGTTATTGATATATTTCTCATTATTTGTTTAATAATCTATGTTTATAGTATCATAAAAGTGTTTCAGAAGTATCTCAGAAAAGAAGCATTTAAAAAAAAAATTAAAAAAGTGAGACACACTGACTCCAGTTAGTGGAAACATGACATTCACGTGGTTCTTTAAGAATACTTTCCAAAAGATACCGGTGGAGGTGCTCGTGTGTAAATTAGGGTGGTTGGTGAGTAAGTGATCCATATATAGAAGCGCCCCCACGTTCACCAACACGAGCGCACACCTGTCACGCATATATACGCAGCACGAGAACCGAAGCTCACACTTTTTGAGCTTGAGTTGCTTAAGCTCTACCGACTTCACGTCCCCAACGTTTTGGAAATTGCAACAGATCGCTTACAATCAACGTTCAACATGCCTGGACGTCCGCTTTGGCAGGTAAGCTGTGATCAATGGATTTTCATTTTTACGTGCTGATATTTTCGCACGTCCGATACATTTTCCATCCATAAAAGTAGAGACGCTTTGAAGTTAGTACTTACTTTCGACCATTGATATACATAACCTTAAAATTATAATTTACATTCAATTGTTGATTTGTGTCGAATATGATTTTCTTTAATATGTAAAATATTGTTATACATTTAAATTAGCCATACCTTATGTTCGTAATTATAAAAGTGTTTTTAAATCGCTCTTTTGGATTTCCGCTCTATGTTTATTCCATGAGATATTTACTTGTATTTAAGAAACACTCTGTATATAACTCTATATGATTTACAGCGTTTATTCAAAGGTACTTTTTTGTTTATATCATTATATTAATTATATTATTAATGTTATATTAGTTTATTTTTTTGTTTATGTGACTATATTTGAAATTGCTTTGGAATCTTAATTCTTATTGATAAACGCGTAACAAGATATGTGCCACGATCATTCGTAAAGAATTCAATGTTTCACGAAATCTACGATGACCGTGAAAAACGTAATAGAAGAAATTTCTACTTCTTGACATACTGAAAATTCATCTATTTCAAACATCTGACTCACGGTACATATCTGTAATATTTTTACAACTTTTCGCTGAAGCGTTTTTTATTCTGGATAGACTATAAATCACGAATCAGTTGATGCCAGCTAAGTACATAATTTTAATTTACCATCGAAATTACATCGAATCGTATCATTTTGACGAAAACCACGTCATTTTATATACATTCTTCTTTCTGAATAAATCAATTTAAGTGAATCTTTAGAGAACTTTCCATAACATACTTTTGTTGACGTTATAATGCAAATCATTGCTGAGTAGCAATATTTCGATAGATTATTAAATATTGTATCGTGAAGTACAAATGCTTGGTATACTTGGTATGTTAATGCGATATCATAACGTGAGTCCAGCGTCGGCTGCCTGCTGGTATACCGCGGACAGCCAAAAATAACTCGAAAACGTTAAGACATGCCAAGCTAAGCAAAAGTTTGAATTGAATTCTATGATATAGCTATGTTAAAAAAAGAAAAAAAAATGTAGGAAAAAATCTGTGTCACGGTGACGACATGACTCATGGCGCAACGTTTATTTACAAACAAGTAGGTATTTTAGCATCTGTTGCGCTGAAATGGACTTAATTTTAAAAGCGAGTTCAAGTTTCTTAAAACTATCGGAAAAGAAATCAAATGAGTTGAGATAATTCTGGAAATTAGACAATATGTTCAGTTATCGTAATAAATTATCAGTTTTCTTAAATTAAGGTTGAAAGAATTAACAATAAGTAGCTTCTTTGTCGTCTAACATGACATGTAATATTTTAGAGATAATCCTTGTTATACTATTTACCTTAATGTTTGCCAAGAACTTGGCGCGAACTTGCTTTGTACCAGAAGAATTTTCAATATTCTCAATCTATTATTTTCTAACATTGTTGAAAAAATAATAGCTAAATTATAAAATAAAAAATTTTCCTAGTTCTTAAAAATCTACAATAATACAAATAATAGAAAATAGTAGCGTCGTCTCTTTATTTTGTACACTTGTTATTTACATAGCTATTATTAAGAAATAGTGCGAGAACAATTACAAATCTTAGAAAAGATATTACACTAGTTGTCCGAATTGACAAAATAATCTTTGGCATATGATTTTCGAATGGAGCTTACACCTATATATTAAAGTAACTGCGAAATCCTGTTAATTGCATATACATCTCTTCCGTAGCTTTTCGTATGTTGTGAATTATAAATTTATCTTAACGCTTTGTGACATGTTTCATCAATAAATATTTGTGGAAGATGCCAAGTAGTAAATTGATATTTTACGTGTTGAGAAGTAGTGTGCTTTTGATGTAGGTACAGTTTATCATGTTTGTCATGTGTTGTGTAGAAGTAGATATCTGACATATGTATTTGTTTAGTTTTTTTATAAGTGAAATTTATGTATGTGTGTGTATGTGTTGAGTCGTATGTACATATGTCTGTTTAAGTGTAATGCGTGTAAGTACTTATGTCTGTTTAAGTGTAATGCGTGTAAGTACTTATGCATGTTTAGTGTAATGCGTGTAAGTACTTATGTATGTTTAGTGTAACCAGTGTAACGTGTGTGTATATATGTGATTGTGATGTAACGTGCAGTGTATCAAGTGTAGTGTATGAGTCGTGTTCGGTTAATAATTATCGTTTATCAACAGGATATCACATTTACGTATACACACAGTATAACGAAGTTCTAATAATATATTTTGAAGAAAGAGGCTACATGCACTGTTGCAGTGCCTCTGGGGCACGTTTACGTAGGTATTTTATCGAGAAAGCAAAGTTTTTGTGCCATAATTTTACAATGTGAATACTTCGAATTGGTCGCTAGTTGTGTTCTTCGAGTTCTTTGAGATCGATGGTTAAATAGTAAACGAATACTTATATAAGTTCTCGATAACGCGTTCTTTACGCATTGTTTACATGTGTCGGGTGTTACCGAATCCTCCGTGGCCAGCTTGACTGGCTCCTTTGTTGAAACCCATTTGTAAATTGAGTTGGCCCTCGCTAGCACGGAGTTGCTCTTCCGTGAACGTTCTTTTATTTTCCTCAGACATTTTTGGTCCTAGACGTGGTCCATTATATTCAGGATGTTTCTGGGTCTATGCAAAAGAAAAAAAGAACAGGATAAATCGAGAGTTGCTTCTTTCTCGAAGTTTCAAAATTAGGTTAATTGTAAGATACGTACGATCCTACCCAGAGCGTAGAGACACAGTGTAACTTGTGGGATATTGCGTCTTTCAAAGAGATCAGCTGTCTGGAAGATTTCTTCTTGTGGGACACCATATTCCTTAATGGCAGCTTGGAATCTGTCCCAAAAATCGACAATATCCATTAATCATAAATCGATGAAAAGGGATAAATCTGGACTGAAATATAGTTTAACTTATCGTGCCTTTGGACGTTTTCCATAAGCTGAAAGTTAGTTCCCTTGCTCTGAATTTTCTTCACTGAGCCAGGTGCCAGCTTATTGATGAGTTTGCACAGGATCACTCCATCTTTAAGTATGTCCTCGTAATTTCCAGGTGGGAGCTTTTCTCCAAGAACGGCCTGGATCCAGTCTAAGATCTCAGTCTCTTGTTCCTTGTTGCGGGCCTAAGAATCGGAAGTTTAACTTTTGTTAATTGTATGTTTCGGAATTAGAATTGCGCGGTAGATATTGTAGCATTAATATCACTTGGGGAGTCAGGGACGGTCCAGCAAAGTGTTGCTGGGCAATTTAAAAGTGTCGAGAACGAAAATAGACCGCGACAGTGTTATGTTACCGCGGGCATTAAAGCGAACGTCGAAAATAAAATACGCCGACCGATTTGTTGGCTTTTATTAAAACTGGCAAGTAGCAACAATGTTCGGCCACCTGTTTCAGTGCCGTGTGAATCTCGAGTTTTACGGATTTCTGGTAAAATCGTTTATATGACGAAACTACATTTCTGGCACTCTGACAATCGTTTCGATTCCACGCGTTTCTTTTCACGGCATTTGTGTTAATGAAATGTCTTCTATGTTTCAGGGTGATTGTACGATGCGAACAAAATTTCGAAATATATAAAACATACTTTTTATATTTTTTATTTAATAACTATACTTGATCCGACGTTTTCCTTCTTTTACTAGTTACAGGTGGAAGAATATCGAAATAACTATCCGTGTTATTAATCGTGTATACGTGTCTCGTGTGTAAATGTAAGCAATTTATTAAGTACTTTTGCATTGATTTACTATGCCAACGAACAACTGACGTAAATGAAACCTGGCATCCCTTTGTTCGCGATAGATTAGTATTTATAGCATAAATAAAACCTCGATAATTGACGCTTCTAGACCTTCATAAACCCTTTGTCTAAAATGTTTCGACTGCACCGCAGCATTTAAAGTTTATTTATATTTAATTATGGAATGTTCGCTAAAGGTCAATGGAGATTTTGCAGGGAAATCTCTCCAGCATATCTGCAAAGTGTCAGGCCTTCGAAGAAACGTGTTTCTCCCGGAACACTCTCGAGATGTATTTTAAGCTTTATTCTCAAGGAACGTGCGTTTTCATTCAAAACCAACCCATCTTTCGAGGACGTTTCGTGAACATGACATCCGGTGCAATAATTCATTACATTTCGAGTTAAATTGGCCGAAACCTTTTAAGTCTTTACTCCAGTAATTTGGCTCCTGATCAAATCGAATATCTAGATTGAAGATTCACCTTCGAGAATACAGGAATGACTTGCTTTTTCATATCGAATACACCTGATATTCGTTCATGTTGAAGGTTTAAGGTACCATTGGTAAGCATTAATCATTAATTAGATTCGCTTGAATAAAATGTTCGTGAATGTTAGAAAATTAATCTCGAATCTAGAAAAAATATAGCGATATTAATCTTGTCATAAAAATCGATCTATCAGTGTTTTGAATTACGATATTCGCTTGAGAACACCGTGAAGATTTATTACGTAAGAATATTTATCTTAGGATATAAATACTCCGGATGTGACGAAAGAGAAGATACGCGTCGAAGTCGATCGGCAGTATAAATTGCTATTTCGGAATTACGAATTCCATCGTGTCAATAATCCGACCTCATTCATCGGTAAAATTAAATGTGGATCTTCGCGGAGCATTTATAACGGCATTCTCATTTTACATATTTTTGATATACCTTTTTCCGTTTATAATTTCAAACGTTTCTCCCGTATGTCAAGATTAATCCAGCATTTTGGGAAAATCGCCAGGGCGAAATAGCTCAAGGTCTATCGTAATTAGGATTCTACGAATAACCACGGTTTCACGCGGTAACGTAGTAATAAGAAATTATTCATGTACCAGTCTGGTTATAGTCTCACTTATCGTTAATTGACATGGTACGGCCAAGGTATCGCGGTTAAGCGCCTGTTAATCATTATTTCCTCTTGGAACGAACACTTGATTCCTGTCAGGTTAGTGAACACGTACCGGCATGTTTCCCCTTTTTCCTTTCGTTGAACGCTGTCGACGTTGCCACGGGGACTGTGCTTTCCTGAAGGAGAACGACTTTTGAACGATGACGCTGACTAGAGACTAAGTCGGACGCTGTGCGTCGCGACGCTATATGCCGGTCTCCCCTCCGCCGTATCCTTTCCACCGACATTCAGGAACGAGTATTTTTTGGCCAACTGCCCACTGGGTATTCCCACACCCCCGCCCATAACCAGATCTTGACACTGCAGCCCTATTTACAAGACGGAACACGAAATGTGCTCATAATGTGCTTAATAATCGAGTAAATTTAATTTTTTTACTAGGATTCTTTAATATTGACTTTTGTCAAAGTGAATTCAGCCTTTTTGTATGGATTGTTCATCATAGGGTCGTATGCCAATCTGTAAAATTTCAAACTAGTTTAGAGAATTATTCATTTATGATCTTTATAGCCAAGTCAATTTAGAAAATTCGATAACGATAATTCCTGGTCGAAGGAAAACATAAATTTTAATAGTTTAGTCCGTGTAAACAGTTTACCTTGGTTCAAAGACCCATCAGAGATGCTTATTTTTACATCTCACCCATAGACTTCTTTTTCTTTCTTCACCTCTTAGCTTGCCGCTCTCCTCTCTTCGAAGTATTACAATTCTCCGGCAGTGAGTAAGATTACATGCAACCATGACAAAATTAATTACAGAATTCTCAAAATACGCGGCTATGTGTCAAAAATAGCTTCTGCAACTCTGTGCATATTCAAAGGGTTTATCTGGAACCAGAGTAAAAGCCTTGGTGTCTTTAATGGAGGAATTTCTCAACGTTTCAGTTCGACGAAAGACGTCGTTAAAAATAGGCCACGATCTGGATCGGTTATATTAGAAACTAGACGTGGTTATTTGTCGTTTATTGTTAAATGATGACGTCGCGAGTAGACGGGGGAAATCGTGGCTGGCGACAAGGTGGAAAAATTCGAACAAGTGGGTGTCTTTCCCGAGGTACGATGGTTAACCGGACTGTGGACGAACGCCAGATGAAAGATGCCGATAAGCAAGAAGCTTGTAATTTCTGGATTCTGGCCACTTCGAAGGGTGAGACCACCGCCGAGTTTAGATTCCGTCAATTGACGCTGTTTCCAAGTTTAACGGAACACAACGGAATCGCGTAGATGGCTGGAGCGTTTCAGCGTATGTATATATGCGTTCGATACTTTGCTATCAGATTACGTAACAGAAATTAATCATGTCAACGAGGTCATTTATTTGGTCCTCCATCTCTTGGCTCTCTCATCTTCAATGCTTCTGGTAGTCGAAAAAAGTATTCTGCTTTGTGGTGCTTTATGAGTTTCTGAAGCGTTAAATTAATGATATAAGTAGATTGGAGGTTGCGTCGTTCTGAAAGTTTGAAGCAACAAGTGGAAGAACACTTGACTGGAGGAGCGAAAAGAATGGAGTAAGACTCCATTACGTGGCGACCTTCCACGTGTACTTAACGTGCTACCTCTTACTTTCATATTTTCCTGCGACAATGCATTTCCAGCAAATACTTAACGCATCCCTACTTGCAGTCAATTGCAAATATACTGTTCATAGATTGCATCTGGAAAACTGGCTTCATAAAGAGAATCGTATAGAAGACGATTCATGGATTTATTTTGCATATATATGTTCTAGAACATTATCGAAAAATATTTTTATTAATTTTTACTTTCGGTGAATGAGATCCGATCGTAAATTTATAGTTTAAACGTTACATTTAAGATAGGTTCTGTACCTACAGTCACTCGTTGCGTTAGTTTCTCGTCTTACCACTAGATGGTGTCGCGAGGGAAAGGATTCTCACAGTTAAAAGATTATGCCGCTGTTATTAGTAGGACAAAGAAACTTAGTCTCGTTAGCTTTGCGCAGTGGCGATATCGTAACCAATGAGGTTCTACCGAGGTGCGATTATTGCTAGTTGAAAACTTTTACCAATACCCCGCCATGACGATGTGAAATACCATCGGCTACGGCAATTTTTGAAAGTTTCTGCGGAAACTGATAACTTGAATGGAAAACAAAAAATGATTGACGTGCATAAAAATTGCAGGTTTTTCTCACTGTTCTTACATAGCTGCAAATGTTACGATTGATGTTGAGAAAATGTACTATGTATATTTGTGCATATAGTTACGTATATCAGTATACTGATATGGTCCGTCCATTTATTGTAAGCCAAAGTTAACCACTTGCACTACGATTTAATTTTCGATTGTCGTGCCGCGCTTTACAATATTACATGCGGTAAGGCGTTACATTGATGTGGTATACACGTCGCTGGCGGCTTTGGAATAAAAGCATCTCGACGTGTGTGGCACGTCTTTATAGCGCAAGTGGTTAAGTGCACGCGTACTCAGTGAATATTCGAAGTCGATTTTCTCGATAACGAAGCTTCGAATGAAAAATTTTATTCTTTATTTTCTGATTTATTTTTCCATGTAGAATCACTTTCTCCTCGGTTGTATTACCAATTCTGATGTATTGATGGTTTATCTACCTGAGCCATATCTAAGTACACGCGTACTCTATAAATATTCAAAGTCGATTTTCTCGATAACGAAGTTTCGAATGAAAAATTTTATTCTTTATTTTCCGATTTATTTTTCCATGTAGAATCACTTTCTCCTCGGTTGTATTACCAATTCTGATGTATTGATGGTTTATCTACCTGAGTCATATCTAAGTACACGCGTACTCTATAAATATTCAAAGTCGATTTTCTCGATAACGAAGCTTCGAATGAAAAATTTTATTCTTTATTTTCCGATTTATTTTTCCATGTAGAATCACTTTCTCCTCGGTTGTATTACCAATTCTGATGTATTGATGGTTTATCTACCTGAGCCATAGCTAAGTACACGTGTACTTTATGAATATTCAAAGTCGATTTTCTCGATAACGAAGCTTCGAATGAAAAATTTTATTCTTTATTTTCCGATTTATTTTTCCATGTAGAATCACTTTCTCCTCGGTTGTACCACCGATTCTGATGTATTGATAGTTTATCCACCTGAGCCATAGCTAAGTACACGCGTACTCTATGAATATTCAAAGTCGATTTTCTCGATAACGAAGCTTCGAATGAAAAATTTTATTCTTTATTTTCCGATTTATTTTTCCATGTAGAATCACTTTCTCCTCGGTTGTACCACCGATTCTGATGTATTGATAGTTTATCCACCTGAGCCATAGCTAAGTACACGCGTACTCTATGAATATTCAAAGTCGATTTTCTCGATAACGAAGCTTCGAATGAAAAATTTTATTCTTTATTTTCGATTTGTTTTTTTCATATAGAATCACTTTCTTCTCGATTGTACTACCGTTGATGGGTACCCTGCATAGTTTGTACACGGTACGTCAGACATAGAAATGCTGATACAAGAGTTTAATTGGCTTAGTTTAAAACTTTTAAACTTAGTTTAAAAAATTTTAACCGTTATTAATCATGACACAAGGGCCATTCGCGTGCCATATATGAAGTTACCGATAGCATTAAGAAAATATTAAAATTATAATAATTCTTTGAAATATTTCGATTACAGGTTGCTGGCAAACGAGAACCAGAACAGGAAGCTGAGGCTCAGCAATGGATCGAGAAAGTCGTCGGAGAGAGATTTCCGCCAGGTATGTCTCTAGTAGCTGTTTCTAGTATCTGATCACTAATTTCGAGCTTTTTAGAAATCTTTGTTTTCGGAGCTTTTTAAGATGAGATACTCGATTTGACTGGAGTATCCATAAATACGGTTGATTAAAGTTTATCGATGATAAACCTCACTCCCTTGAAACACGTACTCACGAATATAAACTCCTGTTCTCCGGAGGTGGTGTGGTTCGAAAAGCGTGTCAATATCACCACCCCCGTTCAGGATCAACGTAACCCATTCGAGCTAGCTGCAACCCTATAATTCCCGGATATGAATGCCAGGCCGCGTGACGTCGCAAAGGTTAAGCTTGTTGTATAGGTCAGTTCTTGGAGTATTTAAATGAGATGTGCGAAAAATAACGTCTCGTAGAGAAGAAAAGTACCTGAAATTTAAGAAAAATTCAATGAGATGAAGCAAAAGAGTAAAAACAATATTATTTATAACGAAAATTCTGATATTAATTAGCGATTATTGATCGTAGCAAGCATATACAGACCACACATGGATGTCGACCGGAGCATGGAGGGTGGTTGAATGGCACGAGTTGTAAAGGGTAGTTGCGACTTTCATTTGTCGATGTTCTCCTAGTAAAACGCGCGCTTTGTTACGTCATTCGAGTCACCCTATTGAACGGGAAGAGGGTAACAACCCCTACGTCGAACGTGCAGTCCTGGTTCGAGAAATATGCCAGGCGTCGACGCAATCGCCAGTGTTGAACTCTATAATTCTATACCCTAGCTTGTACAACTGCTGGTCGTGTGAGAACAGGGCTTGAATCATAATATAAACATCCAAATACTTTTCACGTTTCTGTGACAAAATCTTAAGATCTTGCAATATTATAACCACAAAAAGATTGCATTCTTATTTGAAACTTATGTCGAGCAGGATAGGAATCTAGGTCTACTTAAACTGTTAGACCTCTACTTGAAGTAAAGGGTCCATCACATAGCTAGATTTTCTGTCACGAATGTCTCTTTAACGTTACGCAGTGTTAGTTTCACCCACAGCAAGAAGCAGCTCTACACTATGATGCGAGCCGGGTATTCGAAGCTTTTGATGTTATTGACTCGTTTAAAATTGAACTTGGACTTCCGTCACTCGATCGTCGTCTCCCACTTTTCTATCCCTCCGTTTCGTCCCTAACATCGTTGACCTTCGTCCTGATACGCAATTGGAATTTGATGCGTTCCAGGATCCTCGAGTCTTACGATTGTGGATGTTAGCCTGTTCCTGGAAGCTCGCGTGGCATGCTGGAGACGACCCTTGTATAGCAGTTCGCATACTTCCAAATATTCTTTACACGGAGGTGGGAAATTGTATTTTATTCGAATGTCAAAGCTTCTTAGGAACTACGGCAAGCGTTTGAGCGCGAAAGTTTGAATATCCGAACGACATACTCTTTTAAAGGGTAGCGATAGGGTCGTTGTTTGATAAAACAAAGAAAATTGTAAATATTAAAAAACAATAACAAAGTTGTAAACATTAAAAAACAAAAATAATACCTCTGCAGTGATTAAAGACAGTATGAATGAGAATAATGTTTTCCGTCGTTGATTTCGTAGAGAGTAAAAACTCCTCAGCTGAGAGACTCGTCAAACGACTTTTAACAATCGTTTGCCGACGACGTGTATTGATTTAGCGTCATCTGTTCATCATGTTACGTCGTAAGGACGCCAACGTATCAGGGCCGCATATGAGACCCTGGATAGTCAAGTCAAACATTGCATTGTGTCACTTCTTGTTTCCTCTTTCTTTCACACCCTTCAATTTACTCCTCGTAAAACGAATTGAACATACAGAATTGTTCACAACGATCGATCTTCCGTAGTCTCTATAAATTTATTATACAATTTATAATAAAGATGATCGAAGATAATACATACCGATCTATATACAATTCCATGTATATGTAACATCTAGTATCACTTACCTTTTGCAAGTTTTAACTTAGATTTTGACAACAATTATATTTTATTTCTCCAATATAAAATTAGTTTCGAACATAAATAAATATTAGAGGCATTCGTTAAGCAAATTCCAGTAGCATTCGATTATTAATTCACTCCAATTTCAGCAACTTTATAAAGTTGCTGTATTCCGTTGAGAACACCACCTAAAGCTCATCAAGAAGAACTCGTAGAGCTTGGAGGGAGAGAAGTGTCAGTCATCCGTTCGTCACGGTGGCACAAGTAGCTTGCTTGCACCAGGATACCAGCAGACGTTTGAGGGATTTATGACCAGCGCGCCACGTTGACGTCAACGTCGACGTATTGATCCTTGTGCTCATCTGATGGACGTTCCGCTTCTCGTGTTTCGGTGTTTCCACCATTCTTCCTTAAAGTTCCAGCAGCTGTCGATATGTCGAACCGCTCGTCACGAAACGTTGCGTGACGTCACGAAAGCTCGCAGTTACTAGGATAGCAAAGAGGGATAGTAGATAAATTTATGGCTTTCCCGCCGACTAGGGGCTGCTCCCTGTATATTTGATATAGACTTCGTTGTGTGGGTTGAGAAAATAAGAACATTTCCTCCGGAAGAAATTGGGTATTGACGATTCGTTCGAGTGGAAGGCTCTGGAGAAACGTCAACGGGTGTCAGTTGTCCGTCAGAAGATCGTCAATGACGTCATTTTGAGACGAGCCTACCAGGATTACAGCCCGAGGGTAGATTTACGACCGTAAGCAACAGGTAGTAGCCTTGGGTTGGGTTTCATTTATGGATGCCTCGAGGGGTTGTGTTCCCTTTCTATTGGTCGATAATTTCTCACTGGTGTTTTGAACTGTTGCACGTATAACGAATATCTTGTATTGGCTATAAAAGGTTTGCAGAGGAATAAAAGATTGCAATTGTTTAAATCTGTGGTTAAAAAAATTTTTTAAAATAAATATAACTGTTACTCACTGTTATATAAAGGTTTTTTTCAAATCATTTATGAAGAACCAAAATAGTAAATTTTTTAGGAGAACTCGAGAGAACTGAGGAAAAGCTTTATAGCCAGACACATTATTTCCCTGCTTTGTGGTGTAGAGAAATCAACTGAGAAACCATCCTGTGAGATCTTAAAATAGGCACGTTATCGAGATCCACACCAGAGTCTGCACGCATAGGTATTCTATACTACTAGAATATTGACATTGAAAGTAACATCAGACGATATCCCAATGAATCTGAAATATAATGAAAAGCAATGATTTTTTTTTTAATCGGAAAAGCAATTTATAACATTATTTAAATTTTGAAAGTTTATTGTAATGTAATTTTAACGAATAAGTGTACTGCTTCAAGAAATTGTGGATACAGTTTCGTTGTTGCGAAAATGGTGGGAAACTGGATTCTGCGTGCGAGAGATCTCGTTCCCGCGAGACCTGTTGCTCTCCGTTGGTCGTAAATTTAAACCGAGGATGTTGTCCTGATGAAAACCGTGTGTTTGACGTCTTTATGACATGAAACTGACGTTAAATCGATAACGAGACACGCAAACATTATACGTTGAAGTTAGAGAAACGTTCCTTTCCGATATTCCTAGAAATTTCCTTACTTTTTATTTTAACAGAATATAGAAATAATTTTATTCATTCTTCTGTTTTATTTTATAAAAATTACTATTATCAAATTTTTAATTTCCTTTACCTGTGTTAATCAATATAATTGTTTAAGCAAATTAGATGCTACGATATGTTCTTTATAATTCATTACTTACTATCGTCTTTTATAATCACACAAATTCTGTCTGTTATTTGATATCATTCCTTTAAACAGTAGTATATGATTATACGAAATTATTGAAAAGAATATGTACACGATGTGTATGTGTAAAGAAAACACATTTACACTGATTTATCGATTTCACGTCTAACTGTCGAGACATAACGACTATGACGTGTGAACATAGCAGGGTACCATCGGGGGTAGTAATAGTTTCCGATTCACCAATACATATTATTGCGACTCGATATTTTTTTGACGCATAGTATCGGCTTCGAACGAAGACAGAAATAAGATACGCAACGTCTGAAAAATATCAGGCCAGTATCACGACAGTGTGTTTGTTCGAGCGCGAAAGAAAGTGGCGAAGAATTGTTAGGGAATAAGTTGGACCAGATCTGCAAGGCGTTCTATCGATTTTCTGTCATCTTCTTGCGTTTACGACATCTCATCGCGTTTCGATACTACCAGGAATGTATCAACATGTCATGCTTGTTTACTCTATATACCCGCGCTGATCCGGAGATGGATGCTGAAGCTGACGCTTCCAGGCTGTTGCCTGGATATTGTGGAAACGCGACTTGTTCGCTCGATTCGTTTGACATGCGTAGTAGAGTCACGCACATGTATGTATATGGTCCCTTGTAAACTAGTTACTCCTGCAAGAGAGAGATTTGTCAGTTTGCAAGATAAAAAATATTATTTTTATTTTCTTAAGAAAATTAATTTATTGTTTCATTATATTTTTAATGGATTTAGGAAATTCAGAGTAAGAATTGGAATATAAATTATACCCACCTTTATGAATATACTAGATTACTTTTTTTAAATGCTAAATGTATTCTGTTTAGGGAATCCTTTCCTGCTTGAGTATATTTATGCAAAGTTCTCTGTTTAAGCGATAGATGATAATTATCATTATCACTTTGAAGTTGAAAATCAATCAAGAATTAATTGAAAGAAGTTGTTGTTGCTGACGAGTTGTCGAATGCTCGTCAATCGAAAATTCAAGCATATGACCAGTCTTGTATTAGGCAAACAGATTTTGGGATAAGGATTTAATGGTGCCCCCTCCACTATAAGACCACGTGACATGTCGTCCTTGCAGGATCAGGATAGTAGTCCTTCGAACAATTAAGCTGCTCCTCTGTCCAAAAATGTGCCAAAAGAACTAAGAATTCCTTTAAAAAAATATGCAGTTAAAGATAAAGATATTTAGTTACAAATAAAATTAATTAAAAATAATTTGTGTTATGCTTATGTTGTAATATTTACCATAGAGTAAAAATCAAGAAATAGATTTATATATCATCGTGTCTTCATAATTTCTTCTCGGATAATGTATTTTCGTATAATATGTAGAGTTTCATAATTAACTTCCATGTAGAAGGCGTAGCTGTAAAGCTACTTGAAGCTTAGTATGTTTTCTTAGTAACTCTGTAACTTTCATATTCATAGATGCTGCATATATTATCTATTCCTACGACTGCACGTACCGGAATATAGCCTATAGAATGATATAATCAATGAGTTGTATTCAGTTTAGAAGATTGATTTACCTATTTAAACATGCACTGCACGCGTTTCTTCTTTGATCATCCTGCAACATATCTTTTATCTGGCACGCAAATCACTTTAACGGTTCGATGCTTCCATATATGCGCACAGAGGTAAAGGCGCCAACTGTTGCGTTCCTCGACTGCAGCGCTTCCACTCACGGCTCACGTATCAATACAATTTATAAAGTCGCTCGCCAGAGAGCGTAGCATGTCAATACGTTCGATACATCGGAACGTCAACTGGTAGGGGAACTTGACAATAAACGATACATGCTTGACATCGATGTATGAGCTCCTGTCGGATGCTGGATTCCTGGCAATTTGAGATGCAGCGTGTCTTTCGAATGGCGACGGGATTGCTTCGTCGCACGAGTCACGACGACTGCAAGACTATGATGGCGTTGATCGAGGAACACCATTGAAGAGAAAAAAAAAGCGAGCGACGGAAGACGGAGGCGGTCTTTCCTGAACCTTCGGTACACTGGCAAAAAATGCCATGCCCCCTTGGCGTGCCTCTTGGCATAATGGGGCGCCATAAACGAGTGCTGGTGCACGTAGCCACTGTTATTATTTCGCGGCAATCTCGACCGCAGCGGTGAACAGGAAGGGGGAAGATAAAACAAGAGAAACGAGTACTGGCATTCATTTGAACCGATAATCGCGCGGCTGACAATGAAAATCAATGGCTGACATGAAGTGCGCATGTCATTCGCCGCGAAACTTTAAAAGCCACGCTTTGTCCCGAGGGAAGCGAGATTTATTTTTCTGTTACCCTGATGCCACTGTGGTCCTCAACATTCTTTCCATTGCTCAATTACTAACTTCTTTTTTATCCATATCTTTCCAGGACATAAACAGATGAATTATTCAAGCTCAGCGAGCTTAAAAATTAAAATTTATATGACTCAGTTTCAGTCATGTTTTTTTTATAGTGATTAATATAAAGTGTGTTTTTAGGCGTGAGTTATGAGGATGCCTTGCGGGATGGTGTGTTGCTTTGTAAACTTATGAACAAATTACAACCGGGTCTCATCACCAAAATCAATACGTCTGGTGGTGATTATAAGATGATGGACAATCTTAATCAGTATGTATTGCAAGGAATGCAGTTACGTCGCATGAATGAATAAGTGGTATATTATTAACAATTGATTAATATTGCTTACTAAACTAATAATTATAAATTACGTACTTGTAAAAAATTTGGTTAAATATTTATAATAATATTATCCATATTATATACTGTTAATACTTCCATTTATAAAACTTCCATTTATTCCATTTATAAAATAACTTATCACGGTATGTATACGATATATGAAAATATAACAAAGGCTAAATGGTAGGAGAGGAAATAATTCCGCTAATTTTCGTCAGTTATGTATCATCAGCCCTTCTTAAACTCATGCTTTCCTACTATTCAGTCGAGTTTACGCAATCGACAGTGTTTAGGCACGACTCTCGACTTCAATCTATCGAAGTCGAGAGCATTGGTCACGGAGTCGTTGAAATCGAGAGATCAAACGATATGCGATTATTGGCTTGAAGTCGTCGATAAAGTTGCCGCGAAATTTCAGTTGTATCATTCTCCTTTATATCTGAAATCCTAATAAATAAGTATTAACATAGTCTGAGATCGGGATCGTTGCAATCATTTTATGTACAAATATAAAAAGAACGCTTCAATTTACCTTTGCAATTATCATTTTATATAAAAATCATTAAAAGTATAACAGTACAAGATTTATATCAGCAATAAGTCTGATCAATCGAATATAATTTCATAAAAATACTTTTGTTTGTTATACTTCAATTATAAATTATTATCTCTTTGATGAAAGATTAAATTAGATAAATAAAATATTTTTATAATATTGATAAGATACTTGTATGTTTCAGTTAAAAAATTGGCTTTAAGATAAATAACATTATATCAAAGTGTAACTACAAGGTTGAAGCATATAAGGTATTTTAAAATAGACACCATGCAGTAACTATGACATTTGCTGCATCTGACCGCAGTGTCGCGTGCGCATGCCGGCAATTGGCGCGTTTTCAATGTTTAAGAGCGCTTTCCTGAGTAGTGGGGCGAACGATGCGCAGCGCGGCCACTCCGCATTACTCCCTTTTTATGCGGAAAGCAGGAGAGTCATAGAGGTTCGAATCTTTATCATGTATGCTTCATTCGTTCCTACATTCCTATTATCCGGAGAGTTCATTAATACTGGTCTACCTCAAGTTTCTTGTGTTACGTAGCATGTTGCAACGGAGCCGACAAAATGGCGGCATCGTAGATGTATGCTTATGTACGCTCAATTCATATTTATGATTTGTGACATTTAATAAGTTAAAAAATATAACTATTTTGTCTTGCATTATTAATTTTACTGCTTTAATTTTGTAATTTTTGTTAAAATTGTTAGTTATTTTATATATTAACAATAATATAAAATATACTTTATGTATTAACAATAACATAAATTACCATGGGAAATTAATGTATTTTTCATCTATAGTAAGTATTGTTGGAGTATTAAATAATTTAATTGAATAACATCTTGCATTTATTCGTTTGATGAAATACCATTATTATTGTTTAATGGTTTATTATATTATTATTATGTAGATAATTCTTAGACTTTTGAAGAGATTTCAATAATTATCATACAGGTTTAAGCCAATTATCCGGATGTCGAGCAACTGATCCTACTGTCCTGTTAATTAGAGTTACGGGACGGGTTAATTTTGCATCGAAACGTGTTAATGATACATTATAGTATATATATTATAACTATATATTGCAACGATTAGATAATAAGTAATGATATTTTAGATTCCAGAAAGCCTGCGTGAAATACGGAGTTCCGGATGTAGACTTATTCCAAGCTGTCGACCTTATGGAAAGAAAGAATATCGCACAAGTGACCAACACTATTTTTGCCATCGGCCGCACTGTAATACTCTTTATTAGATATAGTTTCTATTATCACGAAGTGTATTTAATTGTCAATAAATGAAGGAATATTGTGAATTTTTAGACGTATAGACATCCAGAATGGCGTGGACCATGGCTGGGTCCAAGGCCAGCGGAAGAAAATAAACGAAACTTCACGGAGGAGCAATTAAGGGCTGGCGAAGGTTATATCGGTCTACAAGCTGGTACTAATAAGGGTGCGACTCAAGCTGGTCAGAACTTTGGAGCAACAAGAAAAATTCTTCTCGGAAAATAATATCTACGTAGAATTTTTTAACATATTTAAGACTTTTAAATGGTTCGAAATTAATTTTGGTCAAAATGCCTATCAACACCATAGAAGGGTATCAAGTGAATTATAATTAATCGTATTAACAAAAGTTAGGTTTCTTTAATTACCTTATACTATAATAGATGACAGCGCATGAGATTAATAATTTGACAAAAACAATTGTCGTTTAATATGTTTCACAAATGTAATATGAAGTAACAACGATTTCATTATAACATATTGATTCAATAAATTCATGACTGATTATTTTAATTCATATCTTGAAGTTTTATTCGACATCGTTTTCTGCAGTGTGTAATTATATATTTACGTGAGTAAGCCTTACGTAGCACGAGAGGCACCGATGTATACCTATACGTTTCAGAACAAACACATTTTTAAGATTGACACATAATGTGACGGGTCGCGTACGTGCATACACGTATTGGCATACGTATGCAGGTAGAGATGCACATACATGACGATGAACCTCGTACGTGACAGCGAAGATGAGTGGACGTGACGTGTATGTACACGCATTACACGCATTCCTCGAGCGGTTTCTACACCGCGAGGCTCCCCAATGACCAGGCAAGTATCTCAAGCTAGGATATCTACAGCGCATTATCTAAGTATCTTCCGACGTTTCATTTATACTGAGGTTTGTAGGTCATTGAAGAAAACTTTCCGATAGGAAACTCCGAATAGGCCTACGTAGACTTTCTATATAACTTTATTATTGTACAAGTTATAGTACTAGAAAATCAATTATTTGTATAATTAATTTCGTAGTACATTATTGCGTAATTTATACATCTATATAATTAGATAAATTTATGAATTTTTTTTTGTTTATCTCTACCTCTAATTTTTTTATTTTATCTATTTTATCCATTAGTTTTTTATTCCTTAGAAACTTATCTATTCTTTCCATTGCGTTCTTTGTTTCCGTTAACAGATTTCCCATATTATTATCCTTAATTAACAACGCAACATCATATGCGTATTGCAGAACGTTTATTGTCTCGTTATTAAGTTTGTTTCTCAGACCTTTTACGTACAAATTGAAGCGCATGGGATTAAAAATAGAATCCAGCAGTACTCCCCTCAGCCATTCTATCCTAAGGCTATCTCAGATGTTTCTATTTATAATTACCTCACTATTCTTTAATCAATTATTGATACAACTTATTATCCTTTTTAGACACCTGTAATTTGTCAGTATGTTAATTAGTATATTGAAATTTACGTTACTATATGCGTTCTTTACGTCTAGAAAGACTGGACTTTTTCTGAAGATGTTAAAATTATCGGTCTTAGCGCTTTTTTCCTGGTTTGTCCATAAACCGTACAAAACTCTTTTTCCATTTTTTTCCGGAACTTGTACCTGAGTCCAATTGTAGTTGATTATTTTTGTAAGTATTTCGACCATCAATTTAGGTAATTTTACTAGAATTTTGTAATTTGTTCCATCTATTCCGGCTATCGACCTTTTATTCTTATTCATGTTAATTGCCCATATTATTTCTTTAAATGTATATGTTTATTGTCTAGTTTAGATTCTAGGTGTTCTCTTATTTATTTTTTCATTTTCTCTTTCTTCATGTTCAATTGCTATTGGTCCCTTGCTTGATACCTGTGCGTCATTGGTTAATTTATTTTTCCCCACTCTTGAGTCTGTAATTTCCATCTCCTTATTTTCATATTCTTAGATCTGCTATCTTCTCGCTCGCAATACCGGTAACAGTCTCCATCTCGTGTTTCCTGGAGGAAATTCCCTACTAACCTTCAGTGACTCCTAAAAGATTTAGTAATATTTTTCCTCTATCCTTATTGCTATATTATTATCTATACTTTCATTAACGTCCAAAGGTTTCGACTAGCTGTTAGTAAAATACATTTATTACCAAAGCACATTTTTTGGCATTCAATCGCCAAATTCCTCTGTATCTTTCCGTCAATTGTCCGATCTGTTCGCTATCCTACAAGCCGATATCTCCCGAGAAGTGACGTGTTGTCAGTCGATCGTGGGGCAGGCCAGTTCTCGGGGTCCCCCTGTAATATAATAACATAAAACACAAAGAGGTACGTACGTCAATACCATCCGCTATGATTGCATTAGCTCCTTACATTCTACGTTGCTAATCACAAGATACCATCTACTATGCGGATTGAATGAAAACAAAAAGTATACTCTTCCTCCTTGACGTGGCAACGGTACCACCTTGTCAATTCTGTGTTCCGAATGAAAGGGGAGCGCTGCGGAGTGGCCGCTCCGCGCATCACTGCACCCCACTATTCTTCACGCACTCGTAAACCGCGTACATACGAATCATGTTCACCTTCCGGACCTTTTCTGTCACTCATAGTTACTCGTGGTTTTCAATACGGATCTTAACATAATCAACTATCCAGCATTACGATTGGATAGTTTCTGCAACTTTTGTTCTTTGTCTAGAGATATTGGTTTCCTGTTAAACAAGTAAGTCGTAATAAGTTTATCGAAAAGTTTCCACTGCGATAATTATTTACTCTTTGTTGCTGAATATTGATTTTATTTTGTTTACTGTTTAAAATATTTTATGATATATAATTTATACGTTATAATAAGTGATGGAGTTGAATTAAATTTACTTATAAATTTTATTAGATATAAATTATGACAATTAACAACCATTCTTTACGCCTAATAATTTGTAGTGTTAATACGTATACTTACATGTATATTTATGATCTACATAATTATATGTCATATGTGATACAATAATAAAGGAGGAAATTTATTTTTGTAGAAGAGAAGTGGTCTTTCAGTACAGGTATTAGCCTAAATATTAAACCTGATGGGCAGAGTTACTCTGATGAATAAAGGAGCAGAATTGGCATCTCTTATCCTATTTAACAGTTACAAGCATGTGAGTTGAAAAGTCGTAGCTTCCGACAATCTACTCGGTATGATTGTTCTTCCTATTCCTGACATCCTGCTCGTGTGGAGTTCATTGGTACGTTTCCACGGTGCTCTGTACTGTAACATTCAGTGCAATCAAATCCGAATGACCTACAAACTCATTATCCGCTTTTTACGTATTACTGAACCTCTTTCGATAACATGCTCTCCGACTAAAGGGTCGATTCTAGTTGATCGACAAAAGTGTTTTGCGTCAGTAGCATTCAAGACTATCTTATGTTCGATATTTTAACTTTACGGAGTATAAAACTTGCGAACGATGATCATACATTGCCGTCGAAGTACGCTTGAAGGTTAATACATTTAATGTCACGTTGGCAACTACGCTGCAAAGATGTATCCTTGTCGATGTACAAATTAATTACGTTCTTTCTTCAATATATATTTGTTTACAAATTTAGCGTATTCGATAAGCAAGTTTCTCCTTTCGATACCTTGGAGCTAGTTTAATTAGAGAGAATGCCTTTTTCACTTATTTCCAAGACTGTGTTCGAATGTACTTAAACGATTTGCGCTGTTGTGACTTTCACTTCTATAGTGCTAAGTGATAATCGCAATTATCATTTCATTCTTATTATAATGCGTTCTATCTTAAGAGCTTCTATTTTTATACCGGCAGAGCGACTGATCTTTCTGCCATCTGTGAACTAACAAGAAAATTCTTTATGTGATTTGTGCAGTACGACCTCGACTCCGGATTTGTGTGTTCTAGAAGAAATGGACGATTGTGTCTATAATGTGCAGTGTAAAAGGTATTTCACATGTTCTGGGCCGATTAAATAGTAATTTCGTTACAAGATTTTTCTGTTAGTGTTTGTAAAGTGATGTGCGATTGATTCGCTATGCGTTAGTCTTGCGCGAGTCAGTGTCACAAACTAAATATTTGTTCGGAATTCTTTTACGTTTTGTTTCGTTCTAATTCAAAGTTTTTCAAAAGCTAACAATGTTTTTCGTCTACAATTATACGAAATTTTACTTGGAATACATTTAAATTACATAATTTCCTTAAAACTTTATTTGTTTCATTCTCTATATATAATTGGTAATGGTTTAAGGAATTAAATATTTATATTTAATGGTAATTAAACTATATTTAATGATAAAAGTGCAAATTCATGATTTACTATTAAGCTACGTACTTTATTTTCTAGCAGGTGAATGTATTATTCTTTTGTTCGTTGAAACTTCCAAGCACCTATCAAATAGAAATTAAGAATTTTACTTCCACCTAATAACTGTGCAACATGCAATCCAATTGTGGCGATACAGTTGACATGGCTGGTAATTTTATCATATATTATATTGTAATATATTATAATATATATTATATATTCATATTTTGTAGTAGCTGCACAATCAACAATCATAGAAGGTATTTCTAGTACTGATAGCATTGGAACACACAGTGACATTTCTGGACATACTACTATCCCAGGAAGACCTAGAATGGATGTAGCTTGTGTGTTAGATTTACAACAATCAGAACATTTAGCTCAAAGGAAAAGAGCCTTAGAAGAAGTTAGACAAGCATGTAATCTAGTTAATGCCAATATGCATCATATTCAGGTATAAATATTTTTCACTGCTGAAGGTTATGGTATTAAATTAATAAATATCCTTGATAATTATTTTTTCTCCTTTCTTAGTTTGAAAAGCTGGACTTTGGAGAAACAAATGTACTCGATACATTTTATAATGCAGATGTAGCTGTTGTTGATTTAAGCATCCAATTACAACAATCTGCTTTGTTCTATCATCTTGGTGTCAGAGAAAGTTTCGGCATGAAAGAAAATATTCTGTTACATAATGATATAGATACAGAAACAACAATAAGAATTAAGGTATATCTATATTATTTTTGCATATGATATTTAAAAATTATGTTTTAATATGAAACTTTGTAATACGCAGTTATCATGCGGTAATTATACATTTGTTTCGTACCGTGTGGTGGAATGTGGTTCATGTGTGGCAACAAATCCAGCTACGACCAGAATTACTGGAGAGGAAGTTATAGACCCAAAACAACATCTTACATTGAAACTCAAGAAGTTATTTCAAGACGTTGAAGTACAATCTAAGTATGTTTTGACTTTTTACTACATTGTTATCATATAGTCTTTTTATAGATAAGAAACAAAAACAAATTGTTCTTTTGTTCAATTTATGTTATAATAAAGAAATCGATATTTTCTTATCTTATCGTTTTGTACATAAAATTGAGTTAAAGCATTTGTTTTATAGTTTTTGAATTTTACTAGAGCATGCATAATGAACTTGAATTTATTGTAATAGTACAGTTCTCAATTCTAAATCTAAATCTAAAATCTCAATTCAAAAATCAATTTTTTTTAAAAAGATGTACTATTTCTAGGGCTCATATGAAAGAAAAGTTTTTAGCAGATTTACGGAAAGCTCGTGAAACATATTCTGCAGAAGAACTTTCCAAAGCTTTGAACAACATGCGTAAACGTTTAGATGATCCAAACGTTTTATCTGGAGAGGTTGTTTTAAATGTTTTGATTTCCTTTCGTGAAATACAGGTATTGTAATTTTTGTTTTAAAAAGTACTTTTTTACTATTTCTTTCCTAATCGTCAATGAATATTTAGGATTATGATGCAATGGTACAATTAGTTGATGATTTAAGAACTATACCGACTCATAAAAATTATATCAATACCCCGGCTATTCGTTATTTATACGCATTTGCATTAAATCGGCGGAATAAGGAAGGTGATAGAGAGAGGGCATTAAAAGTTATAGAAAAAGCGTTGGAGAAGAAAGAAAACCATGTTCCTGATATGTTATGTTTGTGTGGAAGAATATATAAAGATAAATTTGTAGAAAGTAGACATACTGATGAAGAAAGTTTAAAGAATGCAATTCGTTGGTATAGGAAAGGTTTTGAGGTATATCATTATCAACTTTATTTTGTAGCACAACAAATGTTTAAATTGTATAGCCCCTTTCAAGTATAATTTCTACATCTAGGTTCAACCAAATGAATATGCGGGTATCAATCTCGCTACATTGCTTGTTATAGCAGGGAATGAGTTTTCTAAAAGTGAGGAATTGCAACATATAGGCATGGTATTGAATAATCTCATTGGCAAGAAAGGTAGTTTGTCAAGTTTAAAGGATTACTGGGATGTGGCAACATTCTTTGAAATCAGTGTACTTGCCGAGGACCATTCGAAAGCTATTCAAGCCGCTGAATGCATGTTCAAATTGAAGCCGCCAAACTGGTATGTATTAGTCATTATTGAGAAATTATGTGCTAATGTGAAATGTTAATTGAATTGTTTATTAAATAGGTACCTGAAATCAACAATAGGGAACATATCGCTGATAGATAGGTTTCGTAAAAAGAATGAAGAGGCGGAGGTTTCACCAGAGGAGCACATATTTTGTTTTTGGATGGACTACTTTGTTGAAGCTACAAAACCGGAAGTTGGAGATAGTATACGGTTTCCAGTAAGTTAATAAATGGAATCGTTCTACAAAGGATCCAGTTTCCAATTCGGGAGACTATGGCTTATAATATTGTGTTACCAATCCAGCTTACTTCTGTACATTTCGGGTCAAAGTAAGAACAATATAAAACTGCTCTTAGTGCAGGTTCTTAGACTGACTTTAATGAATCAAGATTCTGTTATGATCCTTTTCAGTAAAAAGAGGGATTAGTCACTAATCTTTCTCTTTTAGCTCTTAGTGTTGGAGCCCACGAAGATCTTGATGCCCAGCTATGTAAACGTTAACCTTGGAGCAGAAGAGAAATCCGTGCAAATTTGGAACCTGTGCTTGGATAATATGAAGAATAATTGCAAACAAGTTCACGATTGGTTATTTACCGCGAACATGATACGGAGTGTAAGCTTATATAAAAGAGATGAACGCTGCCTTTTTTTATACGTTCACCAAAATTCCGACGATTTCCAAATGTATTTCCCATCTGTTCAATGCAGAGAACGATTTTATGATTTAATCTTGGAAATGACCAGAGATCAGGAAGGTATGGTTACAGACCTAGATGCATACATGACTGATGATAGGATGAAGGTGTGTAAATAATTGTTATTTAATATTGGTTTTTAAGTAAAATTATTTTATTTATATGTATTTGTTCGCAGTTTGAATATGAATTGGATGATCAAAACAAACGAATCACGCTAGGTAAAGGTACATACGGGGTTGTCTATGCTGCTCGAGATTTAAACACGCAAGTCAGAATTGCTGTCAAAGAAATTCGCGAACGTAATTTAGGAGATGTGCAACCTTTACACGAGGAAATTAAATTACACAGTCAATTGAGACATAGAAACATCGTGCAATACTTGGGTTCCGTAAGCGAAGATGGATACTTCAAAATTTTCATGGAACAGGTCCCTGGAGGTAACTAAACAAAGTAGAAGGAAATAAAAGTGATTTATATTTACCGTTTCTTACTTATTTTTATAGGTAGTTTATCAGCTTTACTAAGATCAAAGTGGGGCCCCCTGAAAGAAAATGAATCTACAATTGCATATTATACTAAACAAATTCTGGAAGGTCTTAAATATCTCCATGACCAAAAAATTGTTCATCGGGATATCAAGGGTAAAACATAATACACGAAACTGTATTAAAACAATCTTTCAATACTCCCATTTTAATTATAATTTTTAGGCGATAATGTTTTGGTAAATACATATAGCGGAGTAGTAAAGATTTCAGACTTTGGTATGTCGAAACGATTAGCCGGTTTGTGTCCAAGTACAGAAACGTTTACTGGAACATTACAATATATGGCACCAGAAGTTATCGATAAAGGACAGCGTGGATATGGTGCTCCTGTAAGTTGTATTATTATCTATTTAAAGAACAAATTATTATGTTGTTTTATGATATAGGCAGATATTTGGTCTTTGGGTTGTACAATAGTTGAGATGGCAACTGGTAAACCACCATTCATTGAATTAGGTTCACCTCAAGCTGCAGTTTTTAAGGTAACATATTAAAATTTATCTAAATGTAATACAATTCTACATGTAACTAAAAAAATAATTTTAACAGGTTGGATATTATAAAATACATCCCGAAATACCATCGGAATTATCTGAAAGGGCAAAGAATTTTATATTGCGCTGTTTTGAACCTAATCCTGACATAAGAGCAAGTGCAGCTGAATTATTAGAAGATCCATTTTTAAATGAGTATGTCATAATGTAAATGATTCCTTTAAAAAAAAAAAAAAAAAAAAAAAAAAAAAAAAAAAAAAAATAGGTACAATAATGTCTTTTATGTGCATAGAAAAAAGAAAATCAATCGATTGCCGGCACCACCTGATTTTAGTAGAAGCATTTCAGTACCTGCCGACAGACTTGAACGCTTAGGGAAATCTGATAAAACGAATAATAATCATATCGTTTCTGCTTCTCCTATTCAGACTTCTCAATCAGATGATAGGTAACGTAAATATTGTGTTTATATTAATGTATAATTATGGACAAGTGATCGTGTTAGAATTTATTTATGGATAGTCTCATTTCTGTCGTTCCGTTGATGAAAGCGATTGTATACTTTAGCTTTTGTGTGGGAATATATTTTGTATTTTGTATAAAGAAATGCATAACGGTTATATAGTGAATAGTCTTTCCTCGGGTAATAAATCTGAATACATTGTACGTAATGTATTTGAACGCGGAGTTAACGCTTTAATTTTTTTAATTGTTTATTTTTTCTTTGTCATTACATGGCTATTAAATTTCTATTACGATGAAATGTAATCAAAAAGTGTTACATACAGTGGAGGGCTGACAAAGTCAAGTCCACTGAGGGAGCGCAGTCCAGCACACCTTCTGTCTCCCATCAGAATGCCCACTGCAACCCTTTCTTTTAACAGGTATGGTACTAACGTTATAGACGGTTACAGTTGTCCGTAAAAAAATATAACAAATGATAGTACTACATATCGATAAAAAATATAATTAAATTTATCTTAATGCAAGTAAAGAATTAATCACTATTAACAATAGTTAGCCCAGATAGTTTATTAATGTTTGTAATGCTTTATCATGCTAAACGTTCATGTGTTGTGGGCAATGGAACTTCCTGTTTGTAATCGTGTAATATGGGCAATTCGGTATATTCTACAATTCAGCAAGGAGGTAGATCCCTTTGTCCTTTTTCTTTTCATTGTACCAGTTATATGAAGCTAATATTGCTGAACTGAAGTTTAATATGCTAAACAAGTACAATGAAAATTAATTAAAAACATTTATGTAACACAATTCATATGCTTTTTAATACTAAACTCTCAACATCCATTTTGAAATAGTATTTAGAATATATATGTATAGCTTCAGTGATTGCTCTATGTATTCAGGTTTATTTTCAATCAAAGCATCTATCAGGAAATATTCTTGCCCTTGTGACACGTGCATAATGCAAACTTCAAATTCAAAGCATAAGTAAATATAAATAGCATTTGAAAGTAACGTCAATTCATTGTATTTTTAGTATGATAGGAAATACACCATCTATAGAGACAAGCGAAAGTGATACGTCGGGAGCTTCAATAACTAGAAGAAGTTCTTCCGGTGGTTTATTATCACCAGAAGTTGAATTAGGAGGTGAACAATTATAATTAATTTCGTAATATATTTAAGAATTATTTAACTTTAACGCGATTTTCTATTATCATTAGGACAACCTGGTCAGAAAACTGGCGAAGAACAAGAAGGTTTTTATTTACTGAAAAAAGATAGTCAAAGAAGAATGACTCTAACTAGAGTTCTTACTCAAGATGAGGCAAAAATCTGTGAAGTATGGATGCGAGGTATACATCAGGCAGAAGGACAGACTGTCCTACAAATGGTAATTATTTCTATAATTTTATCAATATAATGAATAACTTTAAAACGATACAGATTTATATGTTTTCAGAAACATTTAATATTATTAATGCGTGCCTTGCGAGATTACATTGCGGAACAAAATCAAGAAGTAATCGTAACAGCTATTAGAACGTTGAAAGAAGAATTAGACTTTGATTCCACCGCTATTAATCATCTTAATATAGCTATTTATCTATTTCAAACGGCAGTCAACGAAGTTTTACGAATGCACAGTATAAAGCCTCACTGGATGTTTGCATTGGATAATTTAGTCAGAAATGCCGTACAAGCGGCCATCACTGTACTCTCTCCTGGTAATAGAACAATGATTTTTTCTGTAAATAATACTTTTAAAATCACTTAATTGGCTAGATGTACAGGTTGTTACGTAAAAGTAAAGTCATCACTAGAAATAAAAGAATTCTTGTAAATCTAGACGGCAGTTTATAACTAGCTTTATGAGCATGCATCAGGAAACTATTCCGAAATGAGTTGTAACTCTCGATACATTATTTACAGAACTGGGAGCCAATTTACTTGATCAAGAACGCGAACAATGTGACGGTCAAGGGCCAGAAGAAGGATCTACATCTGGTGCGTCGACTGTAAATTCTGTAAAATCACAAAAAACCGGTGATTCTTTGGATAATAAGTATTGGAAAGAATATCGAGATCAAATGGGAGCTTTAAAGACGGAGAATTTGAGATTGCTACACGAACTCATTGAAAGTCAGAAGTCGTATCAAGTTTTATTGCAACAAATTCTTGAAGAGCAAAGGACACAGGTTAATACCCTAACACGACTTTGCGAAAGTATAAATAGACGAACTATAAGACAAGAATCAGGGTAAGTTTCAACTATTTGCGTAACTTTTATTTAAAAAGGTCAAAAAAATACTGTATAATTCCTCTGTATTCTTTTTATAGGTATAATTCATCAATATCTGGAAATATACCGCAACAGGCAATTTCATTAATTGTTAGCGATATGCCTACTAACGTAACTTCATATACTGACCAAGATCTTGCAGAATGGTTACGAAGTCTTCAGATAGACGAAGTGTCTATCGAAAGGGTAAATATTACGATTTTTATTAACATATTCTTTTTATTGAGTAAAGAGTTATATCGACTGTTATCACAACTTACAGTTTTTATATGAGGAGTATACGTTAGAGGATATCTTGAATCATGTTACACGTGACGATATACGCAGACTTAATCTCAGGTAAATATAAAGTATTTTGCGTATGTGGTTACTGTTTAATACATTTTTTATTTGTACAGAGGTGGAATTGAACTGAGGATATGGCAAGCTATATCGAAGCATCGACAAAACAAGGATTAAATAAGGTTAAATGAAACAAAGGGAATAGTAGTTGAATTGTATACCACATTGGAGTTGGTTTGGTTGGTTAGCCTTATGCAGGGTAAAATACTTGTTGAATATGATTGCCGTAAAGTACATGGTTAACGAGAGCAGAGTTATTAAATATTTAGTATCGAATGAAATACCTGTGTCGTTTATTAGATTATTATGCGTGAAACAAGTTTACGCGGAAAGTTATAAATGCACAATGATATTATTAGTTTATCTCGTAGTTCCTAAATATAGAATATTTACTAGTTACAAAACAGGTCTGTACATATAACAAATTTTGCATATAACAATTTGTTTTGAAACGAACTCGTTACAGCGGAACTTTACAATCTTCCGAAAGTATATTTAACAACTATATTGTACAGAAACTAGCATTGCTATGTGAAGTAACTATTTACGCTATGATTGTATGCAAAATTTGTATATTTGGAAATCGTCAATTCGATTCGACTTGTTAATCTAGAATATTAATCTTGCCAAGTTTAAAGAAATGATATTGCGATGAAAATACGATTGTTATTTATCTAAAAGTTTAATAATTCGAGAATTTAATGTAATTTTCACGTTTACTCAAATTTGACGTTACTGCCAGTGTAAAATCGATGTTACTGGAATAATATGTGCATATAGAAAGTTGCCTTGTGCTTTCGTGGTTTACGATTTATTAAAAATCGAAAGATTTTCTTTTTATTTTGCGTAATCACCGTAAACACGAACAATTATTTATACACGGTAATTAAATGAAAAACAAACGATCGTAGTGCCTTACGAACCAGTGAAATAGTACAAGAGGAAATATTTATTATCTGCAAATGACACTTTTATTGTTGATAGTTCTATATTTTTCAAGAAGAGATTTATCTAATCGTCTTCCTAGATGCGCATAGAAACATTTAACAAAGTTCTTGCGTAGCTACAAAAAGTGCTTCTTATAGTTTACGATACATATTCGCTATTAATCGTGCGCCTAAACGTTATCAAATCTTTGTAGATACAAATTTTTATATAATCACAGATTTCACGCTTTGTATGTGATTTTTTCCCCCGGGAACTCATGCTTCGTTTATATATCTTGTATAGCAATGAATCGCATTTTTTAATACTTCCATTTTAACTTCCATTGCAATAATGCAGCGTAATCATGCCAGTCAATCGAAGCAAGTGCCTAATCCCATCAGGGATACGCGTAACTTTTCGATACAATTGTATCGTAAGAATTAAGATCAAAATAATTAGAGTATCTATTGCTGTTGGTTTCTATACTTTATATCTTCCAGATATCCTACATTACTCTATATCAGGTACTTGAAATTTCTACTCTCTAATTATTTTGACTAACATTCTCGTACAAATTGCTGAGCTATGTAGCGTTAATAAGGAAACATTACCTAACGAAATGTACGAAATGTTCAAGTTGGAACGATCACGAACAATGAAAGGTATCGACTTGAACGCGACTATCTCGTATAATCGTTAAGACCTTTTCACATTATTGTTTTCAATCACTGTATCCGATAAGATTAATTATTATTTTCGTTACTCTAGCAAGCTGAAATTTGTAATAAAGGTTCCAGCAAAGAGACATCGCGTAGCTCTTCATTCTCCAACCCCGCTTCCAGTTGGAACAACGAGGTCTGTGCTGCGAAAAACAACGGTGTTTAATTGAAATCGAAAGTAAACGAAGAGCCAGAGCGATTCCCAAAGGTGAAAGGGTCCAAAAGCCCCGGGGAAACGAGTACGTGATCGGTTCGAGGGGTCGGCTATTCCTCTCTCTCCTTTCCTCTCTCGCAAGCCCTCTGCATTGATATGGATGAAGCGTTCTCTCTTTATCCGGATGCGATATTCCGTTTAAAAGATAAGCCAAATAGATTCGCAGCTCATCGACGTAGGAACATCCTCCGTGTCTTGCCGCTATCTTATCCGCTCCCGCTGGGATTATCCTGGCCGATACGATCGGGCTTTTGCAAGGGGGAACAAAACGCGGGCCGAGCGTCATCGAGCTTTCATTGCGCGCGATCTCCTCTCCTGATCCTTTTCGTTCGTTCGTCCGTAATTGGACGGGAGGGAAAAAAAAGCTCAGGTCCTCGCACACACGTACACACGGTAGAGGGGGAGTTTAAATTTTTCAGGAAAATGAATGCACCGAGCAGCCGCCGCGTAAAATTGCAAAAGTTTCGGACACTCCGTGCTCCCCATGACGAACGAGGGTCGGACCTATTCATTTGCACTACAAAAAAGCCCGTGGCTTATAAACGCACCCCCTCGAACCAGCCGCTTATTTTCGCCGTCGGGGCCCTGCTATTTCTTTTTTCTATTCTCTCTCTTCTCGTCCACTCTCGTTCCGATGCATTTGCACTCGCGTGCAATCCGAGTGGTTGCCGTATGGAATATTTAAGGGTTGATCGCGACGCGGGGTATTTTCCTCCCTCGTTTAAATATCTCTTCGTTTATTTCCTCGTCCACGCGAGATATTCCAAATTTCTATGCCCACTGTCTACCAAATTCCCCGAAATTTTTTATCCGAAAATCAGCACGCAGTCCTTCGGGTGCTATCTGCCTGACTGGATGGGACGAATCGTATCGTTACACCCGTAACATAAACGTTCCAGCCCTTCCATGGCGCTCGTCATTAGCAATTCCATAACGGAAGTCGTAGGGGTATCGGGAGCTCGCGATCGGCCACGTCTTCGCAAATATAAATGTTAATGCGCCTTTGTCGGGCTTCCGCATACATTACTGGCAGCCACAGTTGGCGGGTTCCTCGCGAAATTCGCGGAATTTTAGGGAGGGTGAAATTCACCGTTAAGCAGCTCGTAGCTCCTAAAGGGGTGCCCTCTTGGAAGGGTGGTCGACCGGCGGGCCGCCATATTTTTTCCGAATTCGATCGATTCTTCTTCGACAACGGCCATTTACCGAACGAAACGATCGATGAAAGCGAGAAACCCTCTGAGGGTTAAATCGGATCTCGTCGGCTTTAAAGAAGTCGGCAGTCGCAACAGCTCGGGATAGACGAACGCGTTCAGGGTTAACCAGGAGCAGGTCGAAATGGCAAATAAAGCGGTGCAAACACTCGTCGTCCAGACGCAATCGCAGCGAGTCGAAGTAGAAAGGGTTGTTCGCCGCGATCGGGATACAAATCCCGAGCTGTCTGGCCGGCCTTTCCCTCTCTGCCCTTTCCCTATCTCGTCGTTTCCTCCCTCTCTCTTTACCCTTTAATTAACTAACTGCGTCGGTGGAGTAACTAAAGAGGAGCCGCGATTTTCGAACAGGAGGCTTTCAGCGCCGTCCGAAATAATCCATTTGGCCGTGTGAAAGAGCCAAATAAGATTATCGCGTCAGCTTCTGCCGCTCTATAAGAGACAGGGAACAAAAGAGAGGGAAAGATCGTAGCCGGTAATCCTGTTTTCAGTTTCAGAGTAATTGATCTCGATTCTTCAGCGAGTAATCGCTTGCACGATCCTCCGACACCCCTTCTCGTCTTCGCCCTCGATTCTTATCTCCTCTCGATAAACGATCCCGAAGAAGTAAATCTGTCTCTTTCGTTTAGGCCCCTAATTGCTCGACGCGACGAACGGTGTCCGCCATTTTGGTGCGCTGCAGGAACTCGGAAGGCCCAACCGGTCCTCCGGCTAAGATAGCTAGCCGGTTTCGCGCAGAGGCCAACGTTTCGAGACTCGGCGACGTTGTTGAGAAAGCAGACGAAAGGGCGAAAAAAGAGGAGACGGTCGATAGGGGGCGATTAATCTGGCCGGAAAGCGAAATCATCCTTTCCAGCCGCTTTCTTCGACGAGGACTAAGAGAAGAAGGAACTTATGAACGTCCTCCCCGGGGATTATGGCGAGAACAATGAAGGCTGACTCGCCGTCTCCTCGTTTTCACGGAGTGACACCTTGTTCGCCGGGACTAATTACTTTCGGCTTAAAATCCTTAATTTGTTGCTGAAAGGCCGGAGACGCGAGCCCCAGTCTCAACCCCGATAAAATCTTTCCGCGGCGTCCCTGCCGTGCTGCTGAAAGACGGTTAAAAAGATAATTCCTCGGAGGGGAAAATGGACGGTGGTGTTTCAATCCGACGAAATTTCGCGTTAAGAGTAACCGATAGATGTAATTATTCTTATATTTTGCAGCGTGTTTATCGCGCTGGCATCATCGGCAGACAAATCGACGACGATTACGCCCGCTAACGGGCATCTGCATAAAGTCCATTTGCATGCGACGAAGACAAAATTGGCCTCGTTCTCACCCTCCGCGTAGGAAGAGCAGAAGACGGAGCAGGCTTCCGAGCCCCCTTTCGCCCTTTGCGCGTACCCCAGCGCGATTATTCATCGAAACGACTTAATTAAATGGCGCGCATGGTCCCTTCGATCGGAAGACCAAGCTCGTCGATCGAGGATCGCAGGTCGGACCGGGACAGAGATGCGGCTGGCTGGAAATTAGCTGCGCGTTGGCAACTTCTGGCGAACAAGCCGGACCGATATTGAATCGCGTCTGCACCCTTTCTCGTCTCATAACGCCGGGAGGTCTACGAGGTAACAGATGTACCTGATACATATTCATATCGGAGCGCGCCACGATTCCGTGTTATTGTTACTGTTATTATTGTCAGGGTTCGAGTCAGTCCGTCGTAATGGCTCGAAAAAGAACGTACGAGCGTCGGCTGCGAGCCCCTGACCGTGCTTAATTTTCCGCCAGCCGACGATTATAGTCATCGCGGAGGACCTGGAGAACGTTTCGCCTCCTCCTCGAAACTCCCAGCTTCGTGGAAATTGCTTTCGTCTTTGGCCTCGAATTTCCGAGTTTCAGGAATATCGTATGAAATTCGCAAACGATTCTTGGGCAAATTCTGCGAAACATGCTCCTCCAGTTACGAGGATATCGAAATCTTCTAGATTCGCGTTTGACAAATATTTTATCACGACGAATATTCTTTCGAGATCTTCGACTCGGAATTTTGTCAAAGGAGCATACAAATTTCCCTCAGATCGATAGCGACGAGTTTGCGAAATAGAAAAATTCGAAATCCTGGCCTGCAATTTTCACGAATTTTCACGAAGATTAGAGAATCGTGTAGAAACAGGACAGGAAGCGGAAGAATAGCGAAATTTGCATCTTGTAATTTTTCTAATCGGCGTCGGCAAAATTCGAGGAACGGATCTCGATGGAAGCGATTCGA